TTAGCGATATACCAAAACATTTCCCATAGCGATTACACGTAAACGAAAATGGAATTCTAAAATCCCACTTTGCAAGTAAAATATGAGCATGATCCCGGCATCTGATCGAAAAATGAAGTACACATTGGAGATAGCTCATTGTCTCAGCTACAACATATCCGAAGCTCACGGAAAACAAAGTTAAAAAAAGGAGATGTTGCTCGCGAAAGACGGAAATGTAGAATGCAGTTTTGAGAAATAGTCATGTCCCATAGACAATACACGCAAAATGTGAAAAATTGACATGCCTCCTTTAATCGCAAAAATACGCCATGATACCTTTGTCAAACTGGACAATTATGTACACTACATTTGTAGAAAATTGTCTCAGCTAGAACATATCAAAATTTGGAAGAAAAAAAAATCAATATTTACAGAGATACAATCAATTTTCCAAAAATATGCATCCGTCATAATATGCAAATTTAAATTTCGAGTTTGGAGGCCATTATGATGACATTATGAGTTAATTGAGAGTCAAATGAGACATGAAATCATATTTCCATTTCATAATCTATCCACATATGAAAGAATATTGGGAGTTTCTATCTATTCTGAAGAGTTACAATGAATTTTGTATAGGCATTTTTTGGCCCATGTATTGTGGATAAAGATCACGCAAATCCGCGCGTGCTGTCAACTTTGACGGACGCTCATTGCGTTATTAAAAGGTGAACAAATTATCAAAATGCTTGGAAAAATGTACAAAATACGATGACGGAGAAAATACGGCGATTCTATGTTGCAAAATGCTGGTACGCGCAAAAAACGCGCGCGCATGCGCGTGAGCGCGATTTTTTGTCAAATGCTCTATATGGCCTGAAACGTATGCAAAAAAAAATTGGGATGATTTGGAGCATTTTAATTTTTTTAGCGCGCGTATACGCGCGCACCTACGCGTACGCGCATTTTTACGCGCATATATTGACCTCAAATTGACCGGACGGATATTGACCTTGATCATGACAAATATGAATGAGAAATGGCTTTCCGTTATGAAGATATGATCATAAGTTGATTTTAACAAAATGGCGTCTAGATGACGTCACGATAATTTTGAGTCTTTGAAAAGTCACGCAGTTCTAAGTTAGACTAAGATCTATCATCTTTGAAAGTTTCATGACAATGGCTTTATTCAGTCTTGAGATATCCTGCGAACAAAATCGAGGAAGAATAATAATAAATAAATAAATAAATAAATAAATAATAAAAATCTTGACGAAATCAAAAGGTGATACGTCTACGTACGTATCACCTAATAATAAAAATCTTGACGAAATCAATAGGTGATACGTAGACTTCGTTACGTATCACCTAACTAGACTTTAATTCATCACTTAGACGAATTAGGTGATACGTATGATATTGGTTTACATAACGAAGAATGCATTTAATACACTATATCATATTATTTTATAAAATACTTTTCCCATTATGATCTATCCATATGTCAAGTTTAAATTGTGTCGATCCCTTGATCATTATGGATCTAGGGAAGATAGATTAGTAACCGTTACACCTTTGACTCTAATTTACATCATGAAGAACACATTTTGACGATTTTATCTTATTCAAAGAAATGAAAATGTAATTGATAAATAATTATCATCATTATGATAATGAAGATGATCATGATCATGAGCGTGAACCTGATATCTTATTAAAAAAATGAGGGGTGATTTAGATAGCATATAGTCTCAGCTACAACATCCTCAAAAATCAACAAAATGCAAGCAGGAATAACGGCGATATTGCTCGCAAAAGACAGAAATGTAGAATCCAGATTTGAGGAAAAGTCATCTCCCATAGGGATTAGACACAAAAAGTAATCGTTTAAGTGAAAATAGAGTAATAATAAAGCAAATAGTTTATTACATTATTTGCGGATCTACGTGTTTTAATAATCAAAGGAGATGGTACAGTGAAAGGTCAAAAAGAAAAAAAAAGTAAAGGGAAAAAAAATGGTTGGAGACGCCCAGACTCGAACCAGGGACCTAGAGGATAGAAGTCAAGTGCGTTAACGATATACCAAAACAATTCACATAGCGATTACACGTAAACGGAAAATGTGATTCTCAAACCCCACTTTGAAAGTGCAATACTAGCATGATCCCGGCATCTGATCAAAAAATAAAAGCCACATTTGAGATAGCTTATTGTCTCCGTTACAACATACTCGAAGCTCAGCGTAAACAAAGATAAAACAACGGAGATTTTGCTCGCGAAAGACAGGAGTGTAGAATCCAGTTTTGAGAAAAAGTCATGTCCCATAGAGAATACACGCAAAATGTGAAAAATTGACATGCCTCCTTTAATCGCAAAAATACACCATGATACTTTTGTCAAAAATAAAAACTGTGGATACTGTATTTGTAGAAAATTGTCTCAGCTAGAACATATCAAAATTTGACAGAAATTTGATCGATATTTACAGAGATAAAATCAATTTTCCAAAAATATGCTAACGTCATAATATGCAAATTGAAGTTTTGAGTTTGGAGGCCATTATGATGACGTCATGAGTTAATTGAGGATCAAATGAGACATGAAATCATATCTACGACTCATAATCTATCCAAATATGAAAAAATATTAGGAGTTTCTATCTATTCTAAAGAGTTACAATTAATTTTATATAGGCATGTTTTTGCCCATGTATTGTGGATAAAGATAACGCAAATCCGCGCGTGCTGTCAACTTTGACGGACGCTCATTGTGTTAATAAAAGGTGAACAAATTATCAAAATGCTTGGAAAAATGTACCAAATATGATGACAGAAAAAACTCGGCGATTCTATGTTGCAAAATGCCAGTACGCGCGAAAACGCGCGCGCATGCGCGTGTGCGTAATTTTTTTTATCAAATGCTGCATATGGCCTGAAACGTATGTAAAAAAAATTTGGGATGATTTGGAGCATTTAAAAAAAATTTGCGCGCGTAAACGCGCGGACGAACGCGCACGCGCAAATTTGCGTACGTTTTATTGACCTCAAATTAACCGGACGGATATTGATCTTATTCATGATAAATATGAATGAAGAATTACTTTCCGTTATGAAGATATGATCATAAGTTGATTTTCACAAAATGGCGCCTGGATGACGTCACGATAATTTTGAGTCTTTGAAAAGTCACGCAGTTCTAAGTTAGACTAAGATCTATCATCATTAAAAGTTTCATGACAATGGCTTTATTCAGTCTTGAGATATCCTGCGAACAAAATCGAGGAAGAATAATAGGAAGAAGAAGAAGAATAACTAGACTTTAATTCGTCACTTTGACGAATTAGGTGATACGTAGCTATTTTTGTATCATGAAAGTGTGCCGATGATGATCTAATGATAATATTCATAAATACGATAATGACGATATTGATGATTTGTTGGTTTTAAATTATGATGACAATGATTAAAAATGGTATAGCGCCCCCTTCAGATATTCGATAGACAATTGTTATATGATTAAACTATTAATTTACTTAACAAGCTCAAATTTTCGCCTGATTGCAGAGCCTACCAATCATTGAACTGACATTTCGACGCACTACATACGCAACATAATGAACAAGTCTAGACTGGAATGTAGTATCAATCACCTCCCATAAGCATAAGACGCATATTAAGCAAAAATCTATTGACGTCATCAAAATGAATAAATATTGGTAATAATCTTGTGAAGAATTGTCTCAGCTACAACATATCAAATTTAGAAGAAAATTGATCAATATTTGCAGAGATAATATCATTTTCCGTAAATATGTTGACGTCATAATATGCCAATTCGTATTTTTAGTTCCAAGGTCAATATGATTATGTAAAAATATACTTAATGGCCAAATGAGACATGAAATCATATCTCCGACTCATACTAAATCTAAATATGAAGAAAAAAATTGGCAGTCCTTATTCATCCCGATGTACTTTTTATGGCATGTTTTTGCCCATATATGCTATGAAACATGAGTTCGCACGCACGGATATATATCTTCAACGGACGCTCCTTTCGTTATTAATAGTGATAAAGAGATGAACATGGTATCAAATTGTTCAGAAAAAAATGAGGAATATCCTGTCAAAACAAATTGAGGGGTAATTATTTTGCGTTCTGCCGTGACGAACAAAAACGCGCGAAAATGCGCGTTTGCGCGATTTTTTTTTTATAGAATGCTTATAATGGCTTGAAACGTATGCAAAATGAATTTGAGATGATTTAGAGCAATTTAAAATTTTGCGCGCGCATTGACACGCGGATATATGCGTACGCGCATGTTTGCGCGCATTTATTGACCTGAAATTGATTGGACGGATATTGACCTTAATCATGATAATTATGAATGAGAAATTCCTTTCCGTTATAAAGATATGATCATGAGTTGATTTTCACAAAATGGCGCCTAGACGACGTCATGATGATTTTTAGACTCTGAAACGTCACACAGTTCTAAGTTAGACTAATATCTATCATCATTACAAGTTTCATGATAATAGCTTTATTCATTCTTGAGATATCTTGCGAACAAATTCGAGGAAGAATAATAATAAAAATAAAAAATAATAATAAAGAAAAATCTTGACGAAATCAAAAGGTGATATGTCTATGTACGTATCACCTAACTAACATCAGAATACATCTACAAAAATACTAATTATCTCAATAATTATCAAACTTGACAAAAGAATAATCTTCTTACCTATTAATGTACAAAGTAACAACTAAAGCTTGCAGAGTTGACCTCCCTGCCTGCCCCATGGATGGGGGTGCAGTGCAGGAGTGAATCTGACAAATACCTCGATCTCTGCCTTCTTTTATAACAGTTACACTCTCACGGTGGTATAGCTACCACCTGTTCTGGGAAAGGGTCTTGTTATTGGGAGGGAGACAGGAAGTCTGGGGTTCTTATCTGATGTTTAAAATTTGGGATTTATTTATCTAAGTTATTACAAGTGTTCTGGAAGGGGGGATCTGGTCATAGCTTCTACTAAGAATATGTGTGAGTCATACTTCTCTGAAGTACAAAGATTGTAAACATATACACTTCTTAGTTTCTTGTTCTTCACTTCCTGAGGAGATATTGATTAGAAATAGATAGATATAGAATCATTCTTTTTACCCCAAAACAGTTCAATTTTGACCTGTTACATTATCATCACATATTTCACTTCTTTGCGTGGCTCCACGGGTGCATCGATTGATTGGTTTCTCCTTGTTCTTGCCTGTACAGTTGGAGGAGTTTGGTATTGGAGACACAGTACAACTGATAGATGATGAGGAGAAGATAAAGAAGATTCAGCCTGGGCATGGAGACTGGAAAGAAGAGATGTCTCAGGTAAGAAGAAGTCTCATTAAAGGCATTGTTTACAATGTTTCCAGTTTTAAAAATCTGAGATGCATTACCCTATGTGTTATCAGTACCTGCGATATGGTATAATATATTGAAGCCCTAAAAAAATTGCGCTTCAAACTGATCATGAAGTGCCTCAAAAAAGTACAAATCTTTGAGTGACCGGTTTTACCATACTCATTTCCCCCAATATACTATGGTGTTATAAAAACCGTTGGGAAACAGTTTTTTAAACAGGCGACCGGCTTGTAAAAGTCATTGGGATTCCTGACTGACCTGAAGGTTTATATTTATGATTGCAACATAAGCTAAATCAAGGATTTTGTATAGAATCTAAAGCAATGATATTCAATCCCTTTAACTCTTATCCGTCCATAATGAATAAAGCCCAGAGCCACAGGGCTAATCTTGTGCCAAGCCACAAATCCCCCTGTGCCAAGTTTATTTTGAGATAATCTGATACACGCGATGGTACGATCAATAGCGCGTGCAAAGCACTCAGCACAGTACAATGAGCATGAAAAATAACTGCTATTACGAATGCGAGCATCAGCGCTCAAAATACACGGGGGCGATGGGCGATTCGCCCCCATCAGGTTGCTCACGGGGGCGATTGCAAAATTAAATATCGCCCCCGTGGAATTATAAAATAAAGATTATCTTTTCTGTTATAACTTTAACACAACATTGAGTTTCAATTTTCCAACCTGAAACCAATGAAATGGAACTTAGATAAGCATGCAAGATTTCTCGCTTGAACGTGTCTAAAAAGAGTAAAGGCCGCCATTATTGTAAAGAAATGTAAGCTTATTCGCCTGAAAATGGTGCTATGTCTCCACATCTCTATGAGTATTACTGATACAAACGACAGAAGCTTGCAGTGCAGTGCGACCATTAGCAGTGGCTATACTGCGCCGTTAGTACCGTTACGTGTGCACGCTGCCGCCCCATATCTGCTGGAGCTGGAGGTGATCGCACACTACAGCTTTCTGGATCGCTTAAGAGCTGAAACATGGTCATGAAGAAGATTTTTTGTTGTGTAAAGTGTGAATCCTCTGAAATCTGGGGATTCCAAATAATGAACCTCGACCAGTAAATCAATATCGAGAAGAAGAGGAAGACAAGATGTTGTGGAAGGATATGGTAACATGGGCGAATCTATTGGGGGAGAATGGGGTTTAACCCCCCCCCCCCCCTTGGGCTACCAAGTGAAAATGTGATGTGCATAGAAAAACGCCATTATGTGTCCAGACCCACACAGTATTAGTAGATGCCAGGAAAACATCACTTACGGGGGTTCAAAATAGCAAAAACTTTGCCTCACCGCTATGCGGCTCGTGGACGATGCTCTGCATTGGGTCAAATCCCCCCTTCAATAGCAAAAAGCTAGATCTGCCCCTGGGTAAAGACTGAAAGTATAGAAAAAATGTGAAGGTTGCTCCGAATAATGAGGAGGAAATAATGTGCAAAACAAGAAAAATCGAGAAAATGTCATCACAGGATGAAAGTCAGTAACAGCTATGTAACTTGTAAATTTGTAAGAGGGAAAATGCTGACTTAAATAAATGATAATGATGAAATAGCAGATAATTGAGGAGTATCATGGGTACCAATTCAATGGAAATTTGTATTTCAAAAAAGAGCCCCCGTCAGTACTAAAAGAGCCCCTTTTTTTTGTTTTGAAGAGCCCCCTGTGGACAAAAAATTAATTTGAGCCCTGGTGAGCATGCATGCCTAAAGCACCAAAAAAGTGGCTCGCTCGCGTGAATTAAGCAGCCAATTGTTAGCGCGCTCGTGTGTACAAAGCACTATAACAGTAGCATGCATGCAGCCTTATGGCAGGATATGACTTAGAGGATCAACCACTAAAGGGTTGGAGTTTGACTGGCAGCTAGGGCATTTATTTTCTTTGGCATGTCATAAGTCAACATGTGCCTTTCTGTAACTTAAAAAAAATGCATAAAGCCAACAGCATCAGATTTACCATAAGGTACAATTCTTCACAGGGAGAATAGATGGCGGAAATCTGCTTATTTGTTTGTTTGCTTTGGGAGGCAGGAGGTCTGCAGTCACAAGTATTTTTATTATGTTTGCAGCCTACATTTGAAACTTTTGGAGCCTCTTTGTACATTGTCCTAGACCACCATAGTGTTGAGCCCTTCATTATATCAGTATGTGATACATGTATGCGTTGTCCATTGTTTAGGATCTTGGACAAGAAGGAACGGTCTTGATAGTCCAGAGGACAGGGGATATCAAGGTTTTGGTCAACGGTCATATCTTGACATTACATCCAGCCTGTGTGACACTGGTCAGGACTGAAGAAGGGAGGAGTCCTACTGAATGGGAGGAAGCCCAGGAAGGTAAGATCATTAAATTCAGTATTTACTTCTAGATTGTTAGACATAAATATCATACCTTAGGCGCTTGGATCAATTCGAGTGGCAGTAATCACGCATGCTTCCTGCAACTCTAAGGCCGTTGATGACTTTATTCACACGCCCCAGACAAATGGAAAAGGGCACACATGTGCTAATAAACTAGCAGACGTGTGCTATCGAACCTTGCACACGTCTGCTAAATAACAGGCGGTGATTGGTCAATTAGCAGACGTCTGCCTGTTATTTCCCCAGTCGTAAAAAAATAGGAAAAAAATAGGGGAAAAATAAGGAAAAAATACTCCCGAAAATATGTTTTTTTTCTATTTTTTCCCTATTTTTTTTAAAGGAAAAAATAGGGAAAAAATAGTTTTGGAAATAGGAAAAAAATAGGTTTGAAACAATTTTTTCTATTTTTTTCCTATTTTTTTCCTATTTTTCAGACCTAAAAATAGGAAAAAAATAGGGAAAAAATAGTGTAGAAAATGGTGAAGAAAATAGTAAAAAAATAGTGATAACTAGGTGCTAGTGGACAGTGAAAAATAGTGAGGAAATAGGAAAAAAATAGTAAGAAAATAGGGAAAAAATAGTAAGAAAATAGGGGAAAATAGTAAGGAAATAGGAAAAAAAATAGTAAGAAAATAGGAAAAAAATAGTAAGAAAATAGGAAAAAAATAGTAAGAAAATAGGGGAAATAGTAAGAAAATAGGAAAAAAATAGTAAGGAAATAGGAAAAAAATAGTAAGAAAATAGGAAAAAAATAGTAAGAAAATAGGGAAAAATAGTAAAAAAAATAGGAAAAAAATAGTAAGGAAATAGGAAAAAAAAAAGACAATAAGTGAGGAAATCAGAAAAAAATAGTCAGGAAATAGGGGGGGGGGGGGGTCACTCATCCTTTACTTTCATGGATTTCTCACACATCCAGTCAACGACTCTGTACATTCAATTAAATCATACAGTGCAAACTTGATATAAAGAGATCAGTTATACCTGAAATGACAAGGTAATTTAACAGCTTTTGGGGGTTAAGATTTCTTGGTTGCACATGACCTCATTGTCAAAAGTTTCCACTGTAGAATAGTCACCCTACTCCTACAGCTCTTTTCTCTGCATCGATGCACCTACTCAGTTTGCCAAATTCACTTCATCCTTTCAGTCCAATCCATTCAGTAGAACATTTAAAATAGTCAATGGGTATATGGAAAATGTTATACAGTCCACTCCTATTATAACGAACATGGATACACCAAGATTTTATTATCAGGCAATTCTCATCAGTCCCAATTTTAAACAAACCAATGTGTTCAGTAACTTGAGTATAACATGATTTCATTTTAACAAGGAAATTGGCTTGGTCCCGAGCACCTCGTTATAATGGCAGTGGACTGTAACAAACAAAAAGAATAAAAGGGAACGTGTCAAATAAAATACATGTACTTTATTTTCGAGAGGTAAACACAATGACATGAGTTTAGTATAGTATGTGTGTTCATGTAAGCAAATAAATAAAAGAACTTAACTGATATTTACAATCTTTGGTTAAGTACTGTAGTGTACATGTTGTAGTAATAGAGTTGTTCATGGTTTGCTATGATTATACTCTAAAAAAAAAACAAACAAGACAAATGCGACTGCGTCTCCTATATGCCTCCGCCTTAAAAAAATATCATCCACCTAGAATGTAGCTTTCTATTTTTGTTCAAATAAAGTATTCAGGTGAGTTTCAGGACTATTACTGAGCCGATGTGGATATGCCAGGCGATCACAAGCTCTCTCCCTCACTAGTAACCAAATAAAGCAGTATTCTTGACATGAGAGTGTTGTTTTCTGTCTCTTTTATTACAATTTAATTGCAAAGTGCTCTTAATAATGTAATAACATTTTCAAACCTCAAGAAAATCATGACAAGTAATAAAAAAATTCTCGTTATTTACAAAGATAACAAAATAAAATAAATCATAAAACAGATTTTTCAACAATGCATGCATGCTCTATTGTACAGTTGACATGTTACATAATTTTCTCAATCTCAATTGAACTGTCAAAATCTTAATACAATCATCATAATCTAGAAACACTTACTACAAAATCAATGACATGTCATGTCATTGAGATATATATAAACAAGAAAATGACAGACTTACATGCTACTATTTTCAAATAGTTTTACAAAGTATACCATCATTACCATGTATCATAAGTAATGGTCTTATGGTCCTTTATCTTCACAATATGCAGGCACTCATTGTGTACACGTACATGTTGTACTTGCCTATGAATCTCAATGATTAGACATAAGAATTACATAATAAAATGGAAACAAATACTAATGTAAAGGATACAGATGTTGGTCATGCTGTTCACAGGCATCGAATGGTGATTGTACGTTACATGTACATTGTAGCTTGATTAGTTTCAATTGATCTGTAAAGATATAAATGAAATGTGAGTTAGGGGTTAGAATAATCATGCATTGGTACATTTATGAACATGCAATTAATACTTAGTACAAGTATTTATGTATTTCATAATGAAAAATTCAAAGGCACAGAACATGTGTGTACAAAAGTATGATAGCAAAAAAGATGCCAGGCTGACGACGAACGGATGGTGAAACAACGGAGTCATCAAAGAGCTGTCAAGGTGCATGAAATGTAAACCACTCAGGTAGGCAATTAATTAGAGTTATTTTATTCTTAGATATATTGGGTGAACATACATAAAATAAAACATAAAACACAGAAAAGAAAATAGTAAAGGAACAATTTGTTGAAGAAAAAAATAAAAAGGAAAGAGAAAAATAATGTAGATCTAGGTAGAACTTGTGCCACCTGCAAATTATTGTTCTAGCATAATGATGAGGTAAACTACTCTAATATTTTGATGTCAGATCGTAACTAACAAACATGAAATAAATAAACCCAAACAAATTATCAACAATAGATTTAGATTTCTACTTAGTAAGGACATACCTCGCAGACACACTCTCGGACTTGGAAGACTTGCTCTTCTTCTTGCGTGGTGCTTTATTAGCAGGTTGTGTTTTCTGATTCCTAGAAAAATAATTTGAGATACAATTTAGCCTAAAACCACATCAAAACATTATATCATGCAAGGCAAAATAATTGACAGACGTAGTAATGGTACAAAATCTGAAATTTTTTACGTGGATTTATTGTAATCACGTTTGTTTACATTCACTCATTCACTAACAGACACTACACTGCACTTGGAGATTCACTACTGTAGTGACGGAGCGGAATATAACTTACTGGGCCTAAATCTTAACTATAATTACATAAACGACTATAATAAGGATTTATCCTACCATCATAGGCTGTATACTCAGGCGCGGATCCAGGGGGGGGGGCCGAGCGGGCCTTGGCCCCCCCCCCCCCGCAAAAAAAAAAAAAAAAAAAAAAAAAAAAAGAGAAGAAAGGAAAAGAAGGGAAAGGGAAAGAGGAGAGAAAGGGAAAGAAAGAAGAGGAAGAAGAAAAGAAAAGGGGGAAAAAGGAGATCGGGGGGGGGGGGCGAAAGGGCCTTGCCTCCCAGGCTGTTGAGACCCCCCCCCCTCCCCCCAATCAAAAAAATAAGAGAGAAGGAAGGAAAGGGAAAGAAAAAAGGAAAAGAGGAGATACTGGCGTACCGATGGGGGGGGGGGGGGGGGGGGTTGGGGGGAAATCAAATTCAAACGTGGTTTATTTCTAATTCCACAACGGTGGATTACAAATAATGCTGATATGACATAATTTCCGAGATTTTTCCTCACTTTTTAGTAAATTATACGTTTGTATGTGTTTGTTGGAAAATGACAAATTCCTAAATTTACAGCCAGGCAAGAAATATGATTCTTGAGATTCCTACATGTCAGTGCCCGAGGTACGGCGGGGATCGGGAGCACCGAGCTCCCCCCCCCCCCCCACCCCCACTTTTTTGAAAAAGTATATTAAAGAGAAATAATATAGAATGAGAGCAAGAATGAAAGAATAGTTAACTGCCAGTGTTAAAAAATAATGAGGCATCAAAATATGCACATCTGACCGTGATTAATGCCTAAAACCCCTAAGCCTGCGGGGGCTCTGCCCCCTGGATTCCACCTAGGGCCCTACGGTGGGCCCTTAGATGATCATCTGACGGTAATTTAATGCCTCAAACCCCTGATTTTTGGCGGCTCCGCCCCCTGGACCCCACGCCAAATAGTGACCTGCCAGTGTCACAAAATAATAAGGTATACAAAAAAATGCTCATCTGACCTTAATTAAACGCCTAAAACCCCTGAGCTTCCAGTGCCGGCTCCGCCGCCTCGACCCCACCAGGGGCCCTAAGACGGGCCCCTGAATGCTTATCTGACCGCTTGCGGGGTTAGACAAGGTATCAAAATGTGTTTATCTGACCGCAGACGCGTAGCCAGGGGGGGGGGGGGGGGGGGGGGGGGGGGGGGGTCCCCCCAAATCGGAAGAGGACGTAGGAAGAAAAAGGAGCAGACAAAGAACATCTTTGAAATTCAGACAAGGATTAACAGTATAGAGAACGGTACAACGCATCGGCTTCTTTCTCTAATAATTTAATGAAACGTCACAGCGTCGCGCAGGAGGGGAGGGGGGGGGGACTGAATTCAGACAAGGATTAAAAATCGAGAACGGTACAACGAATCATCTTCTTTCTCTCATAATCTTATGAAACGCCAAAGCTTCCGCGCTTCGCGCGGGAGGGGGGAACCTGAATTCAGACGAGGATTCAGAGGCGAGAACGGTAATACGAATCTTAAATGGCTTAATGAAACGTAAAAGCTTCCGCGCTTCGCGCGGGATGGAGGGGGAACTAAATTCCGATGAGGATTATTTTCGAGAACGGTACAACGAATCGTCTTCTTTCTCTAATGATTTAATGAAAATTAAAAGCTTCCGCGCTTCGCGCGAGAGGGGGAAACCTGAATCTAGACGAGGATTAAGAGTCGAGAACGGTACAACGAATCGTCTTCTTTCTCTAATGATTTAATGAATCGTAAAAGCTTCCACGCTTCGCGCAGAAGGGGGAAAACTGAATTCAGACGAGGATTAAGAGTCGAGAACTGTACAGGGAACTGGAGGGGGAACTAAATTCCGATGAGGATTATTTTCGAGAACGGTACAACGAATCGTCTTCTTTCTCTAATGATTTAATGAAACTTAAAAGCTTCCGCGCTTCGCGCGGAAGGAGGGGGGGAGGGAGAATCTAAATTCAGATGAGGATTATTTTCGAAAACGGTACAACGAATCGTCTTCTTTTTCTAATGATTTAAGGAAATTTAAAAGCTTCCGCGCTTCGCGCGGGAGGGGGGGGGGGAGGGGAAACCCAAATTCAGACGAGGATTAAGAGGCGAGAACGGTAATACGAATCTTTAATGGCTTAATGAAACGTAAAAGCTTCCGCGCTTCGCGCAAGAGGGGGAGGGGGGAGACTAAATTCCGATGAGAATTATTTTCGAGAACGGTACAACGAATCGTCTTCTTTCTCTAATGATTTAAGGAAATTTAAAAGCTTCCGCGCTTCGCGCGCGCTTCGCGCGGGAAGGGGGGGGGGAACCTAAATTTAGACGAGGATTAAGAGGCGAGAACGGTAATACGAATCTTTAATGGCTTAATGAAACGTAAAAGCTTCCGCGCTTCGCGCAAGAGGGGGAGGGGGAAACTGAATTTAGACAAGGATTAAGAGTCGAGAACGGTACAACGAATCGTCTTCTTTCTCTAATGATTAAATGAATCGTAAAAGCTTCCACGCTTCACGAGGAAGGGGGAAAACTGAATTCAGACGAGGATTAAGAGTCGAGAACTCGACAACGAATCGTCTTCTTTCTCTAATAGTTTAATAAATCGTAAATTTTTTCCGCGCTCCGCGCGGGAGGGGAAAAATTAAATTCAGACGAGAATTATTTTCGAGAATGGTACAACGAATCGTCTTCTTTCTCTAATAATTTAATAAAACGTCAAAGCTTCCGCGTTTCGCGGAGGAGGGAGGGGGGGGGGGGGAAATCGTCACTGTTGGTCACTATTACGTACCAATATTTGGCTCGCATAATTTCAAATTTGGGCCCCCCCCCCTAAGAAATCCTGGATCCGCGCCTGTGTATACTATACTGCTTGAAGTCTGTCTCAAGAAGCGCTTGAAGTGTTGCTCGTTGAGTGGAGCTCCACCGTCGCTAGTAGTAGTAGACCGAAGAGACAGAAGAGACGGGCAATCAACAGTGTTTGTCGCGTGCAGTCTCAGGTTCAATCTAACGTTCCCAGTGATAAGCACGCCCGCGGAAACTACCGCGGGTGTCGCCTAATGCGGGACTTACGCGCATATGCCGCCAGAACCGTAGTGGCTCAGGCTGAATCACTACATTATTCCCCACTTAATGAGTTTAAAGCCTACTTCTAACTTAAACTAAACTAAAACTAACTTAAAACTACTCCCGTACCGCAGTGCGGGGTCACGCCGTTCCCGCTGGTGGATGGGTCAAGGACCCTCCTTGCCAGCACCGGTGAAGTCTTGGTCGTTCCAGGGGGCGGGCGCCTTTATCATACCTTACAACGTACTGTATTCCAAACTTTGGTACGGGAAATATTATGTAAAGTACAGGTAAAATGCACTGTAAAATGTAAAATGCACTGTATTCCACAATTTGGTATATTTAAGTACTAAATAGGATTCAAGTCCCGGAAATGTCCCAGGGATCAAGAACAGAAAGAAACAGAAATATACCAGTTAACCCTTACCGTGCCGGTGTCACGTGTAAATGACAAAGAATAGCAGTCCTGGCACGGGCGTAAGGGATTAACCGGGGCATTACATTAAATTCCCAAGGTGACCGAGCATGAAAGTGTGAGTGATCAACATAAACGATGAATGGCAATAAGTGTGCAGAAAAGGGGAAGAGCCCGATGGCTCCCCATTCCCCAAGTGCAGTTTGGATGGTACAATGTCCAGAAACTGGGCAGTCCCACATGAGAGCCAAACGGCTCCCTACAGGCAGTCCAAACTGTGCATACAAGAAGTATTAGAATGATAAAAGCAGATCACTGAAATCAGATGGAAAATGATATAGAAGGTGAAAACACTTCCAACAAAATAAGATTACATTCTCTGGGCCACTCGGCACCCGGGGGCACAATAGCCACTGCCGGCAAGTTCCTGATATCATTCAGGGCACCCAGGCCCACAACACCATCAAGCAAATCCAAAAGGCTCTTGTTGATCCAGAGGAATTACTCCAGAGGAATTACTCCCCCCAAACATGATCATATTCTGACTTATTATTGGAACCACGTAGTGTCACTTGGGAGATATCAAAAGCCGGCCGTTTTATGGCCTCGAACACACATGAGTGCTCTGTCTCCCTGTGGAAAGAATGCTTCCTAGTCAGCTCTTAAAGCGGAGCAGCTAATTCAGCATAGATAACTCCGCTAACCGAAGCAGAAACTTTTCAGTTTTATTTAATTGTTATCTATTCAGTTTAAAAACATCAACACTTAAAGTTCAGGAACTCAGAATGGACGATTTACAATGAAATTAAACAGTGTAAACAAAAGTGAACTAAAATATATATATTTAAGACAAACATGTTATTTCCCAGGAACAGGAACCGGCACCATGTCCTCGCGGACGAGCCGTTGTGAATGGCTGTGATAATGAACCATAATATATATACTTAACATGTTATTTCCCCCGATCAAACACGATCCGAGGAATCCAAAATGGGAGCCTGTGGGTGGGCTGGAAAAGGGAAAGGTCCTTACTCTGGAGCCCTGGACTCCCAACAACCTTACATCCTACCCGCTTCCCACTAGAAGGAGGCACCACGGCCGTCCTAGCGACTACCTGGACAAAGGGACCGACCGAAGAGTCAGGCGGGTCACTAACATTATTTACCTTGACAAAGGGACCGACCGAAGAGTCAGGCGGGTCACTAACATTAACTACCTTGTCCAAGGGACCGACCGAAGAGTCAGGCGGGTCACTTACATTAACTACCTTGTCCAAGGGACCGACCGAAGAGTCAGGCGGGTCACTAACATTAACTACCCCAGTATTTACCGATTGTAGGCCTCTCGGTTTCCAGATCGGAGATCGGCCTCGCTCTCCGATCCCTTCAGGTTTTCCGGAACACCAGTGGCCACGGGAGATAGAGGGCGGGCATTGGAAAGCATAGAAACTCCAAAGACTTAACAGTCTTCAGTATTTCTTCTAGCATACAATCGGTATTGTACGCATGCGTCTTAAGACTGGCGACTTCCTCTTTTAAATAGCCAATGTCATTCCTGGCCTGAACTTCAAAAGGCGTTGTGACCTTCCCCCGGTCCTCCACAGGAGCCGGACGGGGAACATCTTGACCTTTGGAAACTGTTGGGGAACGATTTAGGGGATGGGGTTGCCTATGATGATAAATTACCGTATCATACCTGTCCACCTCCTGATCGTACATGCAAGTCTGCTGCACCTGCTGCCGAGAAGCCGAATACGTACGGCGAGCCTCGCTCCCATAAACAACACGTTGGGTATGTTGCGCCCACCTGATGGCTTCCAGGGCCTCCTCGACGGACTTCGGGCGCGTATTGAGAGCTGTTAAACCCGCCGCCTTATCCGTACAACCCTGGCATAACTGCAATACCATTTGAGTGCCGTCACCCCGTTGGTCCCACCCAAAAGCTTCAAAGGACAAAGCTTGGAGCCGATCGGACCACCCAAGGAGAGACTCCTCCGGGAGTTGGCGAGCCGTTCGAAATTCGGCTATGGCCTCCTCCGGGAATCGGGTAGCCCCAAACCGACGCCCCATCGCTGTTAACATATGGTAATAAGAATTAGTGCCCATATCCCTAAGGTTCGAAAAACAATCTGAGGCCGACCCCTCCAAACACCAGCCCAGTGCGTCCAAACACTCGCTTGGACTCCACTGACACGATACAGCATAACTGGTGAACTTCCTGAGAAAGGAATGCCAACTTGTTCGCCCATCGTAATTAAGTGACCTCGGCAGACGGGGGGCCAATCCCGGCGCCCCTGCGACCGGTACTCTCCCTGACCCACAAGTGAGGATTCCCTGGGAGGATACTGAATGTCAGGTCGGGATTCCCCAGAAGGGGGATATACATAATCCCTACGTGGGGGTTCCCTGGAAAGCGGACCACAATTACTAGAAGGGGATTCTCTAGACGGGGGATAATAATAATCCCTACGTGGGGGTTCCCTGGAGGGTACACTGCTATCATCCCTAAGCCGATAGTCGGCGGAGGGCCCGGCTGGGGAGGGCGCAGACCCGGATATAGGCCCAGCTGGGCCTTCACCCGAAAATGGGGGGTACACTGTATGCCCATAAGGAACGGGACCCGGACTCTGGACAGACTGGGTTTGTGCAGTCAAGGTTTGCCCAGTCCCCTCCCCCACCCCCTGTGCCTGCTCAGCCTGATCCACCCGATAAGGCTCAAAATCAAATAAATGTACCAGCTCCTTGGCTTCATGGAGACGGGGACACTGCAAAAATAACTCCTCAGTTAAACTCCCACATTGCTCCCTCCAACTAAAAATCTTGTGGGACTTAGTTCTATCCACAACGGCCAGTAAAGCCTCCTCAGTCCCATAATTCACTTTAACCCTCTCCGAGGTCATAACCGGCTTCAAATCAGCAACGATTATATAACCAAATGATAAAATTAAATACACATACAATCTTTCCTTCTTGCTTACTTAATAATACCCTACTTAGTTTCCTAATAGCTTACTAAGTGCCTGACAGGTAAATACTGAAACCCTAAACCTCACTGAAAAACACCGCGGAATTATCTCCACGGTGAACAGCTTCAGCGAGCGGGCCAAAACTAAACCCTACTAAGTAACACTAAAGGACTACACTTAAACCGGCAATATACCTCACCGAAAAACACCGCGGAACTATCTCCACGGTATAATGCTCGGCGAGATGGCCGTACAATATTAGTAATGATGAAATGAAGATGAAATTAAATACCACCCACGATTTAACCCAAAATCCACAGATATCCAAAACAAGACTGACAGTCAAAAATCCCACTTAGGTACCTACCCAATCCTTCCTTCTTGCTTACTTACTAACGTACGTAGTTCCTTCAAGGAAAATACTTCTTGCTTAGACTACTTAGTTTCTTAAAGGAAAATACTTGCTTACTTACTTAGTTTCTTACTTAGTTTCTTACAGGAAAGACCTATTGCCTACTTAAAAAGTAAGAACTTACTTAGTTTCTTTCCAAAATCTTACTTAGTTTCTTTCATAATCTTACTTAGTTTCTTACTAAAAAATTCCTACTTAAACAACCCTATACCCATAGTATACCTCACCGAAAAAACACCGTGGAATTATCTCCACGGTAATAATACTTCGGCAAGAGGGTTGAAACTAGTCTAAATAGAGCCTACCCCTACTAACTAAGTTCTACTTAACCGACCCTATACCTCACCGAAAAAGAACACCGTGGAATTATCTCCACAGTATAAAACTCTGGCGAGAGGATCAAAACTACGAGCACGACAAAAAACGGCTGTACAACTAGTCTAGTGAGTAGAAAAAAAACGAGCAAATTTAAGTACAAAAACTGACCGAAACCGATGTCAAAATCGAAATACGGCCGTAAAAATACCAACGAGTCCCTAAAAAACTATCCTACAACCCTAAGTAGACAAGAAATGAAAAAATATGAGCTTATAAGGCCCTACGAAAAAAGTTCCAAAAATAAAAAATCCCTTCAACACACGAGTCAACGTATCCAAGATGGCGGCTCGGACATGTGTGCGACCACAAAAAATTATCCCCAAAACACCGAAATGAGTACACAAAAATCGGAATACAGCACTGAAAATACTCTACGAGTCCCTAAAATACTAATCTACAGCACTAATCAACTACCAATAGGGAATAAACAAGCTTACAAGGCCCTACGAATGAAATTACAAAAATAGAAAATTCCTTCAACACACGAGTGAATACCGACAAAGATGGCGGCTCAAAAACGTGCGCGATAAAAAAAAAAATAGCCCGAACAGGTTCGGATAAAAAATTAGCGATTACGCCATTGTAGTGACGGAGCGGAATATAACTTACTGGGCCTAAATCTTAACTATAATTACATAAACGACTATAATAAGGATTTATCCTACCATCATAGGCTGTATACTATACTGCTTGAAGTCTGTCTCAAGAAGCGCTTGAAGTGTTGCTCGTTGAGTGGAGCTCCACCGTCGCTAGTAGTAGTAGACCGAAGAGACAGAAGAGACGGGCAATCAACAGTGTTTGTCGCGTGCAGTCTCAGGTTCAATCTAACGTTCCCAGTGATAAGCACGCCCGCGGAAACTACCGCGGGTGTCGCCTAATGCGGGACTTACGCGCATATGCCGCCAGAACCGTAGTGGCTCAGGCTGAATCACTACACTACACTTCACTAAGAAGTTGTGTAGTCTACAACCTCAACACTAGTACATGGGAATATTGATACGTAAAATAACATTCTATAGGCCTATTATGTCTATGAAGTAGCATTATATTCAACAACAGACACAATAAAAATATATATATCATAATATAATTAAGTTTCAGAAATAAACGTACCTTTTCAGCTGTTTTCTGGGGCCAGTTCCGCTCGTCGATGGTCCGTAATTCGACAACAAACTCGTTTCTCTACGAGTGGGACTAGTAATATTTTGAACATTTGTCGGGCTCATTTTCTTGGGAAGAATCACTAAAATGGGATAAGGAGGCATCGGAGTATGAGGAGTCACTATCTCTTGATGAAATTTCATCGCTAGAATAATTGCTGGAAGACATTTTGGTGTGATTTGGAGACGTTTGATGAACGAAAATCAGCAAAAGTCCGATGCGCACAGCAGTGCCAGTGGGGAAAAAAAATAACGGGTAATTTTCAAATTACGTACTTGCGTACTGTCCTCTACGTTGAAACTTTGCGCACACATAGAACGGGAATATCTCGATCGAATGCTTTTTTTTCTATTAATAAAGGAGATTTTTTTTGGTTGAAATTTCTATGTGTACATTTTCTTTTTACACATGGTTTATGTATGGTTATCTTTGAGTGCACTAGTCACTACTATAGTTTGTAAATAAAATCAAGAATATTAATAAAGGAACAAAATTGAAATTTCGTACATTTTCTTTTTACACATTGTTTATTTATGGTCATCTTTGAGCTCACTATTCAATATGTGACCCCACAGCTAAAAACAACCAATAAGTCGCAAAATGAACAACAGAGATAATGGCAGGAGAAGCGGGCTTTTTGAATAGGATGCCAGTCATAAACAATGAAAATATGCAAGTTTAGAAAATAGACAAAAAATAGTTTACAAATTTGTATCATGTCATAAAAAATTTAAGTGCAAAAAATAGGAAGAAAATAGTACTCGCAAATAGGTAAAAAGAAGTCTGAAAAAGATTAAGGTGAAAAAATAGGGAAAAAATTGTCTGAAAAAGATTAAGGTGAAGAAATAGGGAAAAAATAGTCTGAAAAAGATTAGATGAAAAAATAGGGAAAAAATAGTCCTATTTTTTTTGAGAAAATAGGCAAAAAATAGTCTGAAAAAGATGAAGGTGAAAAAATAGGGAAAAAATAGTTTGGTACTCGCGAATAGGAAAAAATAGAACTATTTTTTTTTTTTTTTCTTTTAAAAAAATAGGAATAAAATAGTCCACAAAAGTTGAAGGTAAAAAAAATGGGGGGAAAATAGTTTGTGCTTGAAAATAGGAAAAAAATAGGACTATTTTTTTCCTGTTTTCTTATAGGAAATAGGAAAAAAATAGTCTGAAAAAAAATATAGGTGAAAAAAATAGGGAAAAAATAGTTTGTACTTGAAAATAGGAAAAAAATAGGACTATTTTTTCCCTGTTTTTTTATAGGAAATAGGAAAAAAATAGTCTGAAAAAAAATATAGGTGAAAAAAATAGGGAAAAAATAGTTTGTGCTTGAAAATAGGAAAAAAATAGCCCTATTTTTTTCCTATTTTCTTGAAGGAAATAGGGAAAAAATAGTCTGCATTTCCAGAAAATAGGGAAAAAATATATTTTCGCAACACACAAAACTACTAGGGTTAGCAGACGTGTGCCACGTTCCATACGTCTGGGGCATTCCATAGAGTTGCAGGAAGCATGCGTGATTACTGCCACTCGAATTGATCCAAGGCGCCTTAATATACATCGGACATTAAAATGGAATAGGAGTCACTCTTACCATATGTTATAGTGTATTCCAACTTCCAATATCTCTTTACAGAAGTAATAGTTGTATATCTGACATTTTGAATTTAGTAGACCAGTATTGGTAACAGGGCCTGGTTTAATGAATTTAACTATTTGTGAAGCATTTCACATCGTGAAAGCTTGGCAGGAGATTCTGGCAGAAGATATGAGACTGCCATACCTTATAAATATGGATGCCAGAAGATTTGAGACTGCCATACCTTATAAATATGGATGGCAGAAGCAGGAATGCATGGAATAGGTCTTCAAAAGAAATTCAGCTCTGCGGTACGATAACATTAGATGATGAATATAATTAATGGCCACGAAAGTAAGATTATATTGTATCGATTTGTTTTTCTTAATCAGAGATAATGCTGTTAGCTATAAAGGATAACCCGATCTTAGGTCCCATGGGTGCTGATTTGTCGTCTATCAATTCTATGAACAAAGAGATTCTCAAGTTTGTACAGAACGCTCAAGACGGTAACCTGACAGGAGTCAAGGAAGCACTGGAGAAAAATCCAAGCTGGGTAAGTTCCTCACATTTTTATTACACTGATATTTTTTTCTGTCCCATGCAAACACACATATTTCCATTGCCCTACATTGACAATAAAGATGAACCATATAGTCCCAATAAACCTTATGGACATTTTTACTCTTTATATGCCACTAATAATCTCCCTGTGCCATATTATATTTATCTTTAGATAATTATACCAAGCTTTCAAGATTATTTAACTTTTTCCAGTACAAGATTAATCGTTGGTGAGGATTGTCATGGAGCTAATCAAGAGCGCAAATTGGTAACTTTGCAAAGCCATTCAGTGTGTTGCAGAAAGAAATCCTTCCTTCAATAAGAGCCTTTTTTGTGTGTGTGCAAAATTACATGTGTGGCAAATGAGTGAACGTGCAGAGAGGCAAAGACAGCAAGGATTTGAATTTGAATTTATTAACAACAACACATCACAATAATGACAGTACATATGAACAATCATACAATGCAAAGAATAATACTGATACATGTATACATAACATAAGAGTAATGTCGATTGAACAGTAATGGTTTTAAAACGATATTTTTTAGACATACACCTGCATACTATTAAATGTACAAAAGATATATACGTAAATATGTATATTACTATGTTTAGGTGAAGTTGTTAATGGGAACTAGAAGTTAGCACAAGTGCTAGTCGAGCCTAGTTCCATTCTTTGGCAAGATTTTTTTCTGTTAATTTGTTTTTACATATGAATGTAATACTTGTTTGTTTTGTATTTACATATATACAACAAAATAATACAATATCATGTAATTTTTTTTCTTTACTAAAATGAAAAAATAAAAATAAATAAGCTTAAGCGTTAAAGCATTATAATGAAAGAAGACAAATCTTTGAAGAAATAAAATCATTAATGTGTTCATAAAAATGAAAAGGATGTATTAATAAAAATAATCATACACATGTTCGTACATGCACAAATCCTGTAAAAGCTTAAGGCTGCTATAATCGTTAACAAGGAAGTGTATACTTATATAAAAGGAAGACAAGTAATATAAAAGGAAAAAACGAAGGGGGATGGGATTGAGCCCATGTCATTTACATAGAAGGTAGGTGGAAAGATGTCTCCGAAAAGATAACCTTGATGTTTTTAATCTAATTTCATCTGGCAGATCATTCCACAGCTTTGTTCCTACCAATGAAATACAAAATTGCCCTTGCGTTGTCTTACATTTTGGTTGATAAAGTAAGCCACTTTCTTTTCTCCTAGTTGCACATCTGTGCTGTATCATCTGACAATAATCCACTAAAGAGTGTGGTATAAAACCTTTTACCAAATCATACATAAATGTTGATACAAGAAGTTCATGAAGTTGAAAAATATTTAAAATGTTTAGACTTTGAAAAAGAGCTTTGGAGTCTGTTCTAAGTGGACTGAATGTAATTGCTCTCATTGCCATTTTTTGACTTAAATATATACAATTTAGATTACTTTTTTAAGTGCTTCCCCATACTTCTACTCCATAAGAGAGGTGAGGCTGTATAAAAGCCTTATATAATAACACAAGTATATTCTTGAGAACAAAATGTCTCAGTTTAAACAGAATACCTACTTTCTTTCTTATGCATGTGTTTATTGTCTGAATATGTTCTTTCCATGAAAGGTGACAATCAATTTCAATTCCTACAAATGATGCAACAGATACCCAATAAACAAAATCACGTGAAAATCACGTCAATATCAAGGTATCGACTTGAGGAGAGTTACGTTCTTCAAACACCGGACATTTACGTAAATGTGTTAATACGTTTATTGCATTAGGTAACTTAAAACACACGTACACTAAATCACGCAATTGTCACTGCAATATCACCATTATAATAACGTGATTATCCCTACCTTGGAGACCATGGTTTGTAAACCTAATACTCACGTGTTTGTTTGGTTATGAAATTACATCTTCATACACGAAATTATCGCGTCACAGAAACAGGTGAAGCGTTAGTGATAGTTTTAGTCAAAATATCTGCGTGAAATTCACGTGAATATTACGAGGCTGACTTGAGAAGAATCATGTTCTTCATTCACATGAAATTTACGTCGAAGAGGAAGGATGTTACTGTAACCCGCGTTCAACCCAATAATTACGCAAATGTTACACAATAAATGAACCACAATAATGACGTTCTCATCCCGTTTCTGAACATCGTGTCTTGGATCTTCCATAATTACGTCCAGGCGCGCCGGAAGCAGTTTGGGATTAGAGGGGGTTGGGTGGGGGGGGGGGGGGGTGCAAACATCCCTGAAGAGAAAGCTAGTTGCAACTGGTCCAGTTGATGAACCATTTAATGCCAACTGGTAACCCTGGAAATTGAAATGGGCTAAATGATCCAGTTGATCCAGGCCAGTTATAATTCAACTGGTCTAGCTGAGCCATTAGAACCATTTGGTAAAACTTCCAACCAGTTGAACAGCAACAATACTTCAATACTGGTACGTCTGTATTTCCAATGTAAGGGCATTGGTAATAAGTTGACTTACATAATTGAATTAATCAAAAAATTTCGTATACTTGTACTTTATTGAAATTATTTTAGTTCACAGTTAATGTTTCCCTTATTCATGTTAAACTAAATGTAATTTATACGAAGTAGCGAAATGTCCTAATAACTGGTAATTTATATTTGTAGTATTTTCGAAATGAATTGCAAATAACTAAATCATCAGTAATTAAGAAATATGCTGTAAATTCAGATAAATTGTTTAAAAAAAACATAGATCTGCACGCACCCCATATTCAATATGCAAATGAATTGGTGTCAGCTGGGTCAACTCGAAATATGCCAACGCTCAGTCATCAACTGGTGCAACTGGAAATATGCACACTCCAGTTATCAACTGGTGCAATGAAAATATGCCAACAGTCAGTTATCAACTGGTGAACATAGAAATATGCCAACAGTCACGGGATTATCACCACGGAACTTAAATGGTAACTGTGAAACCATCAAGACACCCAAGAATAACTCATGTTCACACATGGAAAACACGGAATATCCAGCTTATATTAATAATCCGTTTAAGTCACGCGATCATCACCGCGGAACTGCTGGCAACTTTGACTACGATTTAAATAGGTGTTTTAAGACACCTAATCATGACTAATTTTTCACACCTAAAAGTCACGTATGCCCAGCTTAGATTAATAATCCGTTTGAGTCACGAGATCATCACCGCGAAACTTATGGCAACTTTGACTTCCATTTAAATAGGTGTTTTAAGACACCTAATAATGACTAATTTTTCACACCTAAAAGTCACGTATGCCCTGCTTAGATTAATATTCCGTTTGAGTCACGAGATCATCACCGCGGAACTGCTGGCAACTTTAACTACCATTTAAATAGGTGTTTTAAGACACCTAATAATTACTAATTTTTCACACCTTAATATCACGGATTTACAGCTTAGATTAGTAATCAGTTTTAACTACGTGATCATCACCAAGAAAGTAATGGTAACTTTGAAACCATTTAAATAGGTGTTTTAAGACACCTAATAATGACTAATTTTTCACACCTAAAAGTCACGTATGACCAGCTTAGATCAATAATCCGTTTGAGTCACGAGATCATCACCGCGGAACTTATGGCAACTTTGACTACCATTTAAAAAGGTGTTTTAAAACACTTAATAATTACTAATTTTCACACCTACATATCACGTTTTCACAGCTTAGATTAGTAATCAGCTTGAGCCACGTGATCTTAACCAAGAAATTTTATGGTAACTTTGAAACCTTTTAAAGAGGTGTGTAAGACACCTCAGAATTACTAGTTGAATATAACCAGAGATTCACGGACAGAACAATAAGACGATTAGCCGGTGTAAGTAACGTGAATATTACCATCAACTTTAGATAACCTGTGAAACCAATCAATAAAGGTGCTTACAAGACCAAATAATTACGTATTTATCGCCACCATCGGTTAACTGACAAAAAACTCGTTGCTTGGTCAAGTGGTTATTTGGTCATAAACACTTGATTTACAGAGGTAAGTGGAATCACGTTACTCCAGTCGCGTGATAAACTGGTGGATTTTAGGTTAGATGAAATCGTGAACAGGAGTACCTTTTTTGTTTAAATGAAGGCACGTGTCGATAACGTTTAAATCTAGTTCAAAAGGCACTATACTTTAAAATCACTTAAAATACACTCCCAAAAGAGGTTACTTTTTAGTGTTCTGTTTATTGGGATACCTCTTTAATATCTGATCTTGATATTCTCACAGATCCCTTTTTGTCTATTGATCTACCTTTGGATTTCATAATCATATAGTTTGTTTTCTGTAGGTTAATTGTGACTTCATTTGCATTACACCATTCCTGCACCTTCATTAAATTTTCACTTACAATTTCTAAATCAATTTCTTTTTGTCTAGGATTAAAAGTATTATAAAGATTTGAGTCATCAGCAAATAATCTGAAATTGAAAAAGTTTGTGGAGTTAGGTAAGTCATTTATATATAGTAAAAAAAAATGTTGGTCCAAGAACGGAGCCTTGAGGGACACCACATGTTATATTCAATTTCAAAGACATTTTGTCTTTATATTGTATAAACTGTGATCGTTTACACAAATAATCTTCAAACCATTGCAAGGCTAACCCACGTATTCCATAGTGTGACATTTTTTTGAGGAGAATGCTGTGGTTTATATTATCAAATGCCTTTTGACAGTCAATAAAGATGCCAACTGTTGTTCTACCCTCATCAAAGTATTTCAATAGTGTATTTGCAAGATTAATCAAAGATAACTTAGTGCTATTCTTACGGAAACCATACTGGTGTTGAAACAAGATATTGTTTGCTTCCAAATAGTCGATTACACGACTATTTATTATTTTCTCAAAGATTTTACCCAGTATAGGTAAAACTGAAATAGGTCTGTAATTACCAGCTAGATCTTTTTGCCCCTTTTTATAAATAGGTTTCACTTTTGCTACTTTCAGTGCGTCTGGAAATTTACCTCTTTCTATATGGAAAGATTGAAAATATATGTTAATGAGCTTGAAATGTATAGGGCAGCATCCCTCAACAATCTTGCCGGCAAATTATCATAGCCACATGCTTTTTTTGTATCTAAAGTCTGTAAGTGGCATTTCAATTCATTCTCTGTTATTGGTTTTAAAAATAGTGATTTTTCTGTTCTATATCCTAAATATTCTGTAAAGTCTGAATTCACAGGTGGTATTTCCTTTGCCAGCTTTGGACCTATGTTTACAAAAAAGTTGTTAAATTCGTTAGCTATTTCATTGTCAGAAGTTATCACTCTATTTTCTCCACCACCTGAGCTTAATAATTTCTCTACATTCGTCACTTTATTTTTGACATTTACACCACTCAACAACTCGTTAATTGTTCTCCACGTTTTACGACTATCATTCTTATTAATGAAGAAGAGGTTACTATAATATTGTCTCTTTGCATTTTGTAGAACTGTGGTTAGAACATTTCTATACCTCTTGTATTCTTCCTCGTCTTTCTGTTGGAAATTTGATGCCTTTAGTTTAGAATACAACTTGTGCTTCTTCTTGACTGATTTTAAAATAGCATTAGTCATCCATGGTTTTCTCCCAGCATTTTCCCCCTTTTTTAGGTTCTTCGAAGTTGATGATGTAATTGGTGCATGCTTGTCACAGACTTGCGTAAACAAGTCGTAAAATACAGAGTACGACTTTTGTACAACCACTTACATTTTTCCAATCAATTTTACCTAGATCATCATGGAATTTATTAATATCATAATTTCTGAAGGTACGAAACACAGACTTTTTGTGGCTTGTTTTACTTGCCTTTCTAAGATGCTCAAATGCAACAAAGATAGGGAAATGATCTGATATATCAGTTTCTATAACTCCAGCATGAATAGAAGAAATTGTTGCATTAGTGTACACATGGTCAATAAGAGAGGAAGTTGTTTTAGTTACTCTTGTTGGTGAAGTGATTAGTTGCTGCATACCCAAACATTGTAAAGAAGTTAAAAATTGTTCTGCTTTCATATCTATTCCTTCCTTGTGTAGTACATTAATGTTAAAATCTCCAAGTAAAACTACATTTGATTTATCAATTTTCAATCTTTCTAATGTTACCAGCAAGGAGTTTTGAAATTGATCAATATCAGTATTGGGCTTACGATAAATAATACCTACAGTAATTTTCCTACCATTCAGGTCAGTTTCTAACCAGAGACTTTCTGTGTGAGTGACTTCATGGTCAAGAATAACATATTTTAATGAAGAGTGAATGTAAGCTCCAACTCCTCCACCCCTTGTGCCACCTGTTCTACACTTTACCTCAAGGACATAATCATTTAAACCTAAAATACCTTTGTTTGAAACATTCCACACTTCTGATAAGGCAATTATATCAAATTTTGTTTTTAATGTATCTTCATATAACAAATTTAGATTATCAAAGTTCTTATTAAGAGATCTGATATTAACATGTGAAATACAGAATGAATGTAACATTTGCTCTGATAATGTATTATCAAATAAATGAGGGCTAACATTATGTGATTGAATTACAGATGTCTCATTTTGTTCCATTTAAATAATAAAACATTTGTTGCTCATCATATTTATAAGTCATTTACATTATAGAGTGTTTAAAATCTTCATATTTGATGTCATTTAGCCCAACATCAAACAAGTCATCAGGTGTTTTGATGACTTTGAAGGAGTCATCCTGCATTTTGCAAACGATATTCCCATTTTTTGTGGAAATATTTTTAACAAGTGGAGAGTTTTTTGCGCTTCTCAGCACAGCATATCGCAGGGGGTAAGATCATCGTTAACAAAAAACGCCCTTGTAGGAAGTTTTTCCCTTCAAAGCATACTTCCGCTGGTATATTTCGTCCCTCTTTCGCCGAGATATGAGCCGAACTATCGTTTGGCGAGCTCCTCCTCCTCCCACTCTTGGCTTTCCAACCCGATAGCATGTAGAAATGTCATCTGGGGTGATGTTCACTCCAACCTCTTCTGCCAGCTGACAAACTTTGCCCATCAAGGCCTCTTCTGATTCACCTGCATTTTCTTCTGTCTCCACTTGTCCTACCTGCCCCTCTGTGAGTCCTATGATACGAAGGTTTTCCCTCCGCATCTGCTGGTCAACTTCATCCCTCGCAAGGGAAGTGTTAATATGAACCTTGTATTGATGTCAAATACAATTTAACTCTAAGTACATGTACATCCAAAGACCATAATATTACAGCTATATTCTAAAGCTGGCTCCCATCTTTGTTTTGGCAAATGAGGATAGGGAGTTAACCTTGTCACTTTACAAAACACAAAACAGGTGTTCTATTTTTAAAATGTAAAATCAGAGAAACTTTAGCTTCTCGATGTAATAACTGACTCAACTAAAAATTTATTTCCTCATGTATTTTTAATTGTTTCTCTATATTACTCAGTATCCAATTCAACAGCAATACAAATCACTTAGATATATTATCAATATGAGTTTCCAATTCATGTGCCTAGGACCCAACATGTATTATGATTTCCCTTTATGCTCTCTTCATCCTCAGGTGAACAAAGAGGTGGGACACAAGACTGCGATTCATCTTGCCTGCAGTTCTGGTCAGCTCGAGGTCATCAAGTATCTCATCAGCAAGAATGCTTTGATAGAGGCCAAAGATGAGACGGGATTCCGTCCGCTCCACTGCGCTGTAATATCGTAAGTATATTAAGCTTTTGTAGAGGTGTTGATTGAATGGTTTGTGGCTCGAGTCGAACCACGGCGCCAATTTTCTTTGGCAAGACATTAATCTACATTTGCCACTCTCCACCCAGGTGTGAAATGGGTACCGGTAGGAAGGAATTCCTTGAATGCTGTGAGAACCCAAAATTGGTAGCCTAGCAGAGCTAGGATAATATTGGAGTGCCTTGAGCACCTTGCGCAGTGGATATTTGCGCTATAGAAATGTCCAATATTATTATTACTTTTATTATGCCTCCGTTACGAAGTAGCCGGAGGCATTATGTTTTCGGGTTGAAAGAAAGATAATTAAAACTAAAATGAGAGTGCAAACTTAAGCCGTAGAAGCACTAAAAGTGGGAGTAGACTGAATCACATATTTTGTGAGAAAGGTTTTCAGTTGCAATGCCCTTTACATTGATTTTTCCTGATAAAACATTGTACTGTGACATATAGGTTAATTATTCATGACCCAGTTTTAAATGGTCAGAAACATGACAAGTTTTCTTTTTTTAGATACCATATCAATATCTGGGCAGTTCAAACTGCTTATGGTACTTAGAGAATTTGTTTAGACATGAATTGATAATAAATGATGGAATAATACATGCCTATGAGTATAGACTGTTCCTTCTGAATCTCATTCAACTGTTATTGAATATGTAGGGAGAAGCTGAAGGTGGTGGAGTATCTATTGAACCAAGGAGCCTACCCTAGTTCAGTGAGTGAAGAAAGGATGAGTCCTCTACATCTGGCTGCTACCAAGGGTTTCACAGATTGTGTTGCAATCCTCCTCAAACATGGATGCAATGTCAACATTCAGGTACAGTAAGAATGAATATTTATTACAGGATCACACTTATTGGTTGTCCTTACTCAAGGTCTTTACATTCAGTCTCTCTCTTCTCTTCATCCGTCTTTCCTGTTCTTTTCCTTACTTTTTTAATTTCTATTTTGACCTTTTATCAGTACCCTTTTTATGCCTCCGCTACAACGTAGCCAGAAGGCATTATGTTTTCTGGTTGTCCGTTCGTACGTCCCGTTCTTGTGATCGCGCTGTCTCAAGAACCGATTGATGGATTCCTGCCAAACTTGGGGCATGTATGTATCTTCCAGAGCTAATGAACTGATTAGTTTTTGGGTTCACGAGGTCACGAGGTCAATAGTGAAATATATTCTGAGAACCTGTTAATGGATTACAATCAAACTTGAATATTAAAAATTGCTTCTGTTTGGTTTGTATATCGCTCTGGCTGAGGCATCATTTTCGACTGCGTGCAGTCGAAGTTCCATCTACATTTCTTAATAACTTAAAAAATTGCTTTTTCTTCTTTTTTTTTTCCCTCTGGACGGAAAATTAGACTACCGTAATAAACAGTGTATTAACCGCACCTTTTTGCCGCCGAAAAAAATTCAAAGTCGGGGTGTGGTTTATACACGGTGCACCAAAAAAAAAAAATAATAATCGACTTGCGCCAAAGTTGCTTATGTGATGTTTGAATAAAACAATTTGGATTTGGGTATTAATTTGGTCTTTGCAGATCCAAATAACATCCCTAACAAAATTAATCATGCCACACATATTAAAAATTGAATATAAAATATCAACGAACATTTGTGCGCGTGTGTGGGTGGTGTGACTTTGCCTTTTGCAAAAAGCATATGCAATGCATTTCATTTGATACATTTAATTCATTCTCTCACTCCACTAATCCCAACATAATACATACTGTACACATCACTTTGGCGCAAGTCAATTTTTGCACTCTCGCAAACAATGCCTCGTGTTCATCCAAGCGTGAACACATACAACACAAAAGTGATACCAAATGATTTGAGATGAAACACTCTTTCATAAGATGTATAATAATTTACTGTTCATAGATGAATTTTAAAATAATTAGCAATTTTCTAGGTGTAAACTTTTTTTTGACTCACACGGTAGTACAGTCAGCAATCTATCTAAGACCCCTGTTACAGTGAGCAAAAGGCCGGGCCAGGCCTCGCACTGTAAACGCGCAAAAGGCGAAATGCGAGGCCAAACTGGCCACGCATTTGGCCCTGCTGTGGAGGTAGTTTCGGCCGCGGCCTGGCCCCGCAATTTTTCACTGTAAAAGTACGCAGGGCCAGGCCGCGTCCTGGCCCGGCTTTTTCTCACTGTAAACGCACCAAATGTGCGGCCAATTGCGGGGCCAACTGTTACCCTGTAAATTTGTGCATTTACAGTACTAGGCCAGGCCGTGGCAATTTTCTCACTGTAAACGGGGTCTAACTGGTTCCACTCTTTAATACATGTGATTGAAAGGAATTCAGTGCAACATTTGTCCTTACATGAGGTTAAGGCTTTTTCTCGCGGTTGTCTTTGGCATCTTCAACGGGTTTCAGTTGAGTTCACCACTCAACAGAAAGGTTTCGGTCACATGTAAGCTTTTTGCACCAAGCCCTTGCAGCCTCTGATGCGGTGAGGCGTGGTCTAGTGGTGACCATGCTGAGCCTATTTAGCTGAACCTTCCAGCTTTAGTAAGGCCCTTGAGCAAGCTTCGTCACTCGACGCTTCGGCGGGGGCTAAGACGTTTGTATTTTATGTGGTTTCTAATGAGTGATTGAATTGAATTGAATTGATTTTTAGCCTTCTGATTTCCAGTCCCGACTGTGACTTAGACGGAGAGAGCTGAGGTGATTTTTAGACCTCAGTCTGCCTTTTCTCAAGCCGTTCAGACTGGGCTTCTCGCTGGTGGGCGACAGGGTTTACCCTGGTCCCATATGTCTGGTCTGAAGGACAGTTACACTTGTCGGGTGTAACCCGGTACCCGTTTTAGTTTGGGACCTTCTTGCCAAGCTTGAACTTTGAGAGGCTCTGTTCTGTGGTGGGAATTTCTCCTTTGGATTTTCGCCTGTTGGTGATGGCTAAGCTCTCTTCTCCAGCTTCTTTTGATACTCCTCCAAGAGAAGAGTGGGTAGTTTGATCGGGACTCACTCTTCCTGCGTTCTGGTTTTTCCAGGTTACGGTTCTGTCTGGGATCCTTTCTCGCTGTTGGCTTCGCCATCTGTGATTGGTTCTCGTTGAAGCTAAGCCCTGGGACTGACCAGTCCTTGAGGGCTGTTGTGCCGCCTTTTTTTTTGGGGGGGGGGGAATTATCTCTTGGACACAATGCCCCAGCTAACTTTGAGGATAATCAGAGTACGTCGCTGCTGTTTGGGGTTTCTGTCCCTTTTGCTGCGAACATCTGTTTCCCCCTCCCGCTTAGGCCGAACCTGTTGTCCCAGCCTCTGTCGGGAATTCTTCGTCATCGTCCCGCGGTGCATGCTCTCTCTGACTGCCGGGCCGGTGTCGGGGAGGACGCTATGACTTCTGGACTCTCAGAGAGCCTCTCAGTTTATAGTCCAGAGTCGTAGGGATTCCACTAGGGCCCTTTACAACTGTCATTTGGAGCCCTTTTCCATTTGGTGTGAAGACCTCGGGGTCTCACCCGTAAGACTTTGGTAGGTGTGATAGCGGAATTTTTGATTTACTTGTTTGACAAGGGTAGAGCCCTTTCCACTTTTCGTGGTTACCGTTTGGCCTTTGCCACCGCTCATGTCTGGTTTCCGGACGGCTTAGTGGTTTCTATCTCCCATTTCTTCAACAAGTTACTGCGTTCCTTTTTTCTGCAGCGGCCATCTATCCCAAAGCTGGCTCCTGCTTGGAGCCTGCCAAAGGTTTTGGAGACCTTGGCTAAGCCTCCTTTTCAGCCTATGACTAAGGCGTCAGTTCTGATTTTTCTGGCTTCTTATAAAGCGCACATGTCTGTCACGTTTTGACGCTCCTGGCGCTGCCTTGATTATTACCTTGGCTTTAGCAAGGCGGCCATTACGGCGCTCTAGCATTTCAAGGAATTAATTCCTGCCAGGTACCCATTCACATCACCTGGGTTGAGCGTGGCAAATGTAGATCAATGTCTTGCCAAAGGACATTAGTGCCACGGCGGGACTCGAACCGTGGACCTTGTCATCGACTTGACCACGACATCAAGACCCAAGACAATGTGTGAACACTTTGTATTAGCATTTGGTACTGTAATTATATTAATAAGATACCTATGCAAATTCTGGTGAGAATGTTTCAGTCCTTGTAATGAAAAGAGAGAGAAAAACTATGAAGAAGAAGTTTCATTATACTGTGTGATTCAAAAAATGATGTTTACAACTAGTAAATTAAAATACATCATATGAAAGAGTCTTTTATCCCAAATCTTTTGGTACCATTTTTGTTTGGTATCTGTTCACGCTTGGATGAACAGGAGAAATTGTTTGCTAGAGCGCAATAATTGACTTGCGCCAAAGTGATGCCTACAGTATACACAAATAACGCTCGGCCCAGAGTGCAATAGTGGTGAATGCAGTAGGCGCAAGGTTTCTTTAGATTGGTGCCGCTCTGTGCAACGAGCCGCTTGTGGCGAGTTCACAGTGAGCACCATCTGAAGAAAACGAGCGTACACTGCATTCACATTTCGCACAACAGGGTCAAGTGCGTTATTTGTTTTTATAAAATAGCGACACAAAAACAAAAGTTTAGATCTAAAGTATTAAGTTAGAGTCTACGAGAGTTAGATCTAGAGTTATGTTGGTTCTAGACTAAGACTAGAGTAAAAGACCTTGCAGGCTTACCAAAAGTTCATGGGATTCATTGCCTTGAGTAAAAATAAAATCCAAAGGGGGTCTAGAGATGAGTCTACATCAGACAGCTGAAATTCCTGGCTTCATTATAAAATCCCAAAGTCAAAACAGGCCTAAATCCAAGGCAAAATAAAGTAAAATGAAAATTTGCTTTCTAATAATACCCCGGCCCGCTCTATATAGCTAAGCTACGCGTACGCGCGCTGCGCTGGGATGGATCATGGAGCGTACAATACTTACCTACGCGTACAATTACAATGCACTCAGAAAAGGGTTTACTATACGTACGCGCGCGATGGATGTCCATGGTAACGCGTAATAGAACTTTTTTTGCGTTTTATTCTGCAAAATCATGCTTGCATTAAAAATTTGTACATTTGTTATTTGGATCTGCAAAGACCGAATTAATACCCAAATCTTGTTCGTATTCGTACTCTTTTGCTGTGCATGCAGTATAGCTCATATGGATTGCTTTTCATTCTCTCTCAGAATGTGAGTGGCAATGTGGCTCTTCATTTTGCCATTGTAGGAGAAAGCCAGGAATGCCAGAAGCTTCTCATCCAATCCCCAATGATTGATCTGGCGCTGAGGAACTTAGATGGATACAATGCTCTTCACTTTGCTGCTCTCAGGAACTCAGAGTTGTGAGTTGTGATAACAGTATCCTGTTTAGCTAAGATACCTATTACATGTAAATTGTATTCTTCCCTCGTCCATTAACCCTCAATGTTGAGTACTTTGTAGTTGTTGTTGAAAAAAAAGAAGAAAACCTGATTTTAGCAAGTCCAATAACATTGACCCAACATCAATTTGCTGAACCTTGTTAACAAGTAACTTGATTTTAATCATTGTCCGATATTGGCACGATGTCGGCCCAACGTCAGCTTTGTGATGTCATAACTTGGTCAATAAATGTTTCAATCAGATTTACACAGTTTACTGCCAAGTATAATAATTGTAGTAAGATGCAATTGATATCAATAATAATTACGAGGATGATGATGATGATGGTGATAATAATATAATGCACTTCTATTGCGCCATCTTTTTAGTAGACTATTCCGAGGCGCATTATGAAATTAAAAAGTCGAAAGAAGACAGGATAGAACATAATGATGATGATGATGATTGATGATGATGATGATGATGATGATGATGGTGATGAGGATGATGATTTGATGATGGTGATGAGGATGATTGATGATGATGATGATAATGATGAAGATGATGATGATGGTGATGGAGATGATTATGATGAATCATGATGATGATGATGATAATGATGATGAGGATGATGATGATGATGATGATGATGATGAGGATGATGATGATGATGATGATGATGATGATGGTGATGAAGATGATGATTATTGATGATTGATAATAATGACGATGAGACATGATGATGATGATGGTGAGGATGATTATGATGATTCATGATGATGATGAAGATGATAATGATGATGATGATGATCATGATGACGATGAGGATGATGATGATGATGATGATGATGGTGATGAAGATGATGATTATTGATGATTGATGATAATGATGATAAGGATGATAATGATGATGAGGATGATGGTGATGGTGAGGATGATAATGATGATTGATGATGATTGATGAGGATGATGATGATGATGATGATGATGAGGTTGAAGATGATGATGAGTAGGATGGTGATGATGAGAATGAAGATGATGATGATGATGATTGATGATCATGACGATGATGATGATGATGATGATTGAGGATGATGATGGTGATGATGATGGTGATGAAGATGATGATGATGATTGGTGATGATTGATGATGATTGATGATGATGATTGATGACGATGATGATGATGATTAAAGTAATGATAGTTTTAATTCTGCTCCTTTCCAGCGCTGTGAATATGATCTTGGATAAGATGCCTGTCCTTGCCTTAAACAGACAAAAAGATGGCATCACATGTCTTCATATTGCAGCATTTGTCAATAATCCTACCATTGCAAGGATTCTTATTGAAAAGGTATGCATAAAAGGAACGGCCGGTTTCTTGATTTCATCCCAATTTATATTATTATGATTACCCATTTGCAGGCCAAACAAGTGAAAAGGATAAATTCCAATGGCATTTGAAAGACAATACTTATTTAGAACTTCCCACAAAACGAAAGGGCTTGAAAATGGCTTTTAGTGGGAAAATAACGACCATTAGTTGTTGAATCAACGTAAGTGATTGCTTTCTTTCTTTCTTGATTTGATTTTGTTTGGCAAGAGTTGACTATTTTTTCCACACTCTATTTTGTGAATTATTTATACATTTACATATGTACAATTACATGTCATAAATGACTTTTTTTTAAAGATTCTTTTTCCTTCCATCCCTTTTCTTTCTGCTTATTTTCTTTTATATTATTGTTTTTTTAGAGAAAATTATATAAATTAATTAATTTGGAAAGAGAGACGGCCGGCTTGTTTACGCGTGCGCATATGCGCTCAAATATCAGATTCAATAAGTTTAATTTTTGCCATTACAAGTAGTGGAATATTGATGTAGACCAATGCTCATGTAATTGTTTACAGCTCATTTTATGTATGTTATTACCAAAGAAAAAAATGTCGATCAGTCACTCAAAATTGTCTGACAATGAAGTTTAGAAGGTAAACAGGTTTCTTTGCATAATTTGAATACTAGGACACTGCTGATGTTTAAATTTCACAGATAGGACATACATGACATATTCATAATTCCTGCAAAGTTCTACAGAATTTGATGTTGGCTGCCAAAGGGACATACCCGTAGTATCTTTAACTCATCTACTTTAACATAGAGTTAACACCCTTCTGGCTCTGAACACACTATGATCAATTTTGTAAAGATTACTCAATAGTTGTTTGTGAGCTATAAATATTTACTTTAATCTCTTCATAATGTTAACTTATTCAATACAACCAATACACATAACATTTGCGGTTCTAGGACACCTACCCCCGGACAACTAACCCTGGATAATCACCCATAGGATAACCACCCTTTAGGACAACTACCCCCGGACAACTACCCCCTAGGACAACTACCCCCGGACAACTACCCCCTAGGACAACTACTGGCCTAAAACAACTACCCCCCAGACAAGGACAATACCCCGGACAACTACCCCCCAGACAACTTCCCCTATGAAATGTAGGTATATTCATATTTTTCTTAGATATGTATTGTTCCATAATAGAGAAACATTGCATTAATATATTTCCCAGGGATCTGTGGATATGAAGTATCAATTTAGTTCGTTCTTAATATCTTGAAGGGAAGATGCACAATTGATTCTAACACAAACAGTGATACAACCCCTCTGTATCTGGCTGTGCAATGGGGTGCCACTGAGACAGTCGAGGTGTTGGTAACACACGGTGCAAACATCAACCAAAAAAAAACATCAGGCTGGACATGTATGCATGCCATTCTTCAGCAGCTGACGGACCCAGAGCATGAGGTGGAGGATTCTCTCACTCTGAGAAAGGTAAGTTAGCTCATCAGACCTGTTGTGATGGTGATGAGGATGGGAGTGGGGAGGGGGAGGGGGAGGAGGAGGAGGAGGAGGAGGAGGAGGGGAGGAGGAGGAGGAGGAGGAGGAGGGGGAGGAGGGGGGGGGAGGAGGAGGAGGAGGATTCTCTCACCCTGAGAAAGGTAAATTAGCTCATCAGACCTGTTGTGATGGTGATGAGGATGGGAGTGGGGAGGGGAGGGAGGAGGAGGAGGAGGAGGAGGAGGAGGAGGAGGAGGAGGAGGAGGGGGAGGAGGAGGGGGGAGGAGGAGGGGGGGAGGGGGGAGGAGAGGGGGCGGGGGAGGAGAGGGGGCGGGGGAGGTCTAGAAGAGGAGGAAGACTATGATGGTGAGGCTGATGATGGTTGTGATGATGGTACTGAAGTCCATGCATGCAATCCTGAAGTTGTACGATTCTGAGCATGAGCACCCTAGTATACAGACAAAGACCTGAGGCAATTTGTTGTAACGGTGGTGATGATTATGATGATGATGTTTAACTGTGTCCGCAAAGTTCACCTAATGCTCGTTATCTGAGAAATGCATTTTCAGTGTTTTTGCCCTTTTCTAGATTCGTGCTTCCATGAGGGAGATAGGAGTGCTGTCACCTGGGGGCGCCCTTGCCTGTTATCTTGTCAGAAACGGAGGGAAACTGGACATCCTTGACAGGGATGGAAAAAAACCAATAGATTATGTTGTGGATCCCAAACTCAAAGAATGTCTGCAGAAATGTCTAGAAATCTATAGGTTAGAACAATGTACATTCTTATTATTGGTCTTCTTTATAGGCAAGGATAATATGTATTTGGTAATATTATATATTTATTTATTTATTCATTATTTGTCATAGTGGATTTTATATTAAATACTAATTATAATCATCAACTCATGTGAAGTCTGTAACTTTTTAAGATAAAGACCAGTTATATGGTCATGAGATTACATTGTGAAAGAAACGTTGTGGAATCAATCAGAAAAGGTTGATCATCTGGCATATAAGTATTGGTGGGTACTGCAAGGTTCTGGAATCATCAAAATGATAAGAAATTTAGCCCAGTCTTGGTAAAGTTACAAGCACTGTACACAAAAAATGTATATTGGACTATGCGACATGTGCGCGACACGTGCCCGATATCTATCAGGTCCAAATAGATATAAGAATTTATCAAATATATCAATTAGTAGGCGGTTTCTCGGCAAAATTTATATCATCATGTATTAGTCAAAACATATTCTTTCGCATGATTGGTAATAAGAGCTTCCATTTCATTTTTTGAGAGGGGGTGTTTCCAAAACTTGTCTTTACCTTTAAAGTGACTCAGATTTCAGATTCTGAAACAAAATCCTGGATTTAGCTCATGCTGCAATCATAATTATAAACCTTTAGGTCAGTCGATCAGGAATCCCATGACTAGCTATTACAAGCCGATCGCCTGTCTGATTTTCAAGATATTTATGATTGGACATCAAAATTTCATATTTCGTCTTCCTAACGGTTTTTATAACAATACAGTCTATTGGGGAAAATCAGTATGGTAAAACCCTTCATTCAAAGATTTCAACTTTTTTGATTGATTGATTTGATTTGATTGATTTTATGATTTTATTTTATTCGTCCACAATGTGGAAATATGCTTTCCACCAGCATAACAATGTTACGAGAAACAGAGTACAATAATATGAACATATGAACAATTAAACAAACAATTTCAGAACAGAAAAGAGGCACTTCATGTTAATTTTGAAGCACAATTTTTTTTAGGGCTTCAATATTACACCATATCACAGACACTGATTACATGTAGGGCCATGCTTCTCAGATTTAACATTGTTAAACGATGCCTTTAAGTAGCTTATTTCTTAACCCACTGCCTACATGGACCAGGTGGTCCCTGCGTTAGGTCCATGGGAATTAGAGAATTCAGTATTTATCGGGTTAACTTTGGCATCCATGTTGAAAACTGAATTTCTTTGATTTCTCCTCAGCCCTCATAGTTCTCCAGCACCTGCCGCCAAGAAAGAAAGAAATCCTCTTCTGTCGATGATCCTTCCCTTCTTGAACAAGCGCAGAGAGGCACGTAAGAGGCCTGCACCAAACCTTGAAGGGCTGATTGAAGTCGAGTACTTCAGAATGGACGGAGAGGTGGAGCTCTCTATCAATCCTTTCAGTGAGTTTACCAGGATTAAGGATACATTCAAGATGAGCATCACATCTTTCTCATGATTTGTGTGAAATAGCAATAATCAACCCCTATTGTGATACCAAGTTTGAATGAAAATGTAGATGTATTGAATACACTATTAGGACTAGGGCATTCAAACAGTACACATCTCTGTATGGGTTGAGATAAGGGTGTAATGCCTCAGTCACACCTTTGCGTATTCGGCTTGCGTATTGCTGCGTATTTATGGCAAGCCGTTTCAACATTTATTCCTATTTCTTGATATCAAGAAGAGAATTCTTGACATCAAGTAATAAAATTCCTGATATCAAGAAATAGGAATAAATGTTAACATGGCTTGCCATATATACACAGCAATACGCAAGCAAATATGCAAAGGTGTGACTGAGGCATAAAGGAGGTATAATTTAGTAGAGCTTTTGTGTGCCTTCTTATTTCACATAATTATGCAGTCATGAGAGGGATGTCGATAAGCTAGCTCTATTTATGGGTTTTCTCTTTCTTTGTACCTCGATCTTTTGTTCTTCAATCTTGCTCTGTATATGTCTTACTCTGTCTCCCTCTGTCCGTCGCTATCCCTCCCTATTTCTCTCTCCCTCCCTCTCTCCCCCTCTCTTTATTCCTTTGCCGGTCTCTCTATTTATATTCTGTTTATCTCTCTAATAACCATCTACCAGAGATAAGTGATGAGCTACCAAAGTCTCCCTTGGATGACCTGGATGCCATCTCATCAGATCAGATGGTGACAGATGAAGATCTCAAGGCAGTAAGTGATCAGCTCCATTAAAAAAAAAACTTGTTATCATACAGTCAAACCTGTCTATAGCAACCACCCAAGAGAAACACAAATATTGCTTGTTGTAGACAGGTAGCCTTCGGCAGCCACTTTGATTTTGAATAATTGATTGACAGCGCTCCACCATGGCTACTTGCAAGGCCTCTCGCACTCCGCCAGTGCGCAAAAGTTCTCAGAGGCTTTTTAAGGGCTCAGTTGGGCAAAAATGAGACAGAGAGCCAATCAATACCGGTATTTATAACAACGTTTATTTTTTGGTTTTCAAAAATTAAACAAAGAGTGGTACGGTTTTTAGTCAAAATAAAATTACGAAATGAGTGAACGTAATTTTCTATCTTTGATTTTGTATGGCATTTTCTTTATAATACCCCCTACACATACACAGATTTTTCTTACCAGTCCTTACGGATCGCACAAATTCGCAGATCTTTCACGAATCCTTACGATTTGGCCACTTTTATGACCGGTTTAAGAGTTATTACGAGCTGTTCGTGGTTTATTACAGATTATTACGAGTTATTACAATGTATTTACGGCAACAGTCCTCAATTTTCTAAGAATTGTCACGGATAACTACCAGCAACTAACGTGTTAGTTACGACCTGTTTACGTCTTGTAACAAAATGTTACTTGTAAGTTACAAGTATTTACGAGTCATTGCGATTTTTAGCCAAAAAATAACAACTGAAATTGAAGTGTTCAAATTTGCAACTTTTATACCTTTCCCCAAATCGTAAACCGTTCGTAAGCATACGTAAAGTATACATATCTATTAATAAAGTATATAAAGTATATCATAAAGGATATTGCTTCACTTTATGGCTGCTGGGACAACAGCACCACTGCCCCTAGAAACAATGTATTAGGTGCGTTATAAATGTGATCTATTATTATTATTATTATAAAGTACTCGTAACTACACGTAAAATGCTCGCAATAACCTGTATCCATCCGTAAAGCCATCGTAAAAATGACCCAAATAAAATCGTAAACAACCCGTAAGCACACGTAACCATCCGTAAACTGCTTGCAATAATCCGTAAATAATCTGTAAACAAATTGTAAACTAACAGTAACAAATCGTTACAAAAATCTGTTGCGAGTCATTTGCGGATTCTTGCGAGCAGTTTACGGATGGTTACGTGTTGTTACGAGCTATTTAAGAGCTATTTACGGACAAATCAATCCGTGGACAATCGTAAGAAGATTTTTGACATGTCAAAAATTTGCCTCTCCTTTCACGGATCATTAAGAGTGTCTACAAGTTGTTGCAAGTTGTGACAAGTTATTTACGGATATCAGCGAGTTATTTACGGATGCTTGCGATTGAATACGAGTTGGCGATCCATAAGGACTTGTAAGAAAAATCTGTGTATGTGAAGGGGGTATAATGCATATCTAAAATTATTTAAAAGAAATAAAAATGAGCGAGCCTGAAAATTTGTTTGACAGACAGGCCCAGCCCACTCATGAGGCTGTGCACGACGAACAAGCGAGTCATTGATTGTGAAGTTCATGAGAAGACGCTGTATTGTTATGTTTTCAATAGGCAAAACCCATAATGAAATGTGCAAGAAACAATATCCTGTCCGTAATTAAATGTAAAGTAAAGTAAGGGTATGAATCATTTATGCGTTAACTGTACATGTATTGTTCGAGATTACACCCTTTCATCTATCTTTCCCCTCCTCTGGCGTGGTTTTGAATGTTTGAGGGCCATTTGACCTGGTGACCCTGCTGCATGGCCTAGCTGCTCCATGGATATTTAGTGCCATACTCTGAACTATAACTGTGTACACATCCTCCAGTCCAAGAACTTCAACGGGGGTGTTTCACAAAGATCCCAAGTCGAACCTAACTCAAAGATGGACTTAAACATTATGGAGAGCCATTTGCAGCCTTAAAATAAAATATATTCAAAAGCAAACATTGAAGTATTTTAGACTTTTCATAAATTCCACATTAAGAACATGAAATCTCCTTGATGATAGAAAATATGTATGATTTGAATCAATATTTTATGCCTTTTAAAATCAATTTTACAAAATAATTTTAAAGATGCTAAGTCTTTCCAAAATTGTTAAGTCCAAATTAGAGATAAGTTCAACTTAGGATCTTTATGAAACACCCCCCTGGACATATTTCTATATTTTCCTCTCCTTTTCAATTCATTGCACAGAATGTAGAGAAGGCAGCTGAGCATGCTTGCAGTGTTTGTGAAGAGCAGATGACTCAACTGATTGGGATCCCATGCCAACATGTACAGACTTGGCCAGGTGAGAATAGCACAGGGAGAATCATGTTGGAGAGAGAGACAGAGATAGAGAGAGAGAGAGAGAGAGAGAGAGAGAGAGAGAGAGAGAGAGAGAGAGAGAGGAGAGAGAGAGGGAGGGAGAGAGGGAGGGAGACATAGACAGACAGACTTGGTCAGATGAGAATAGCACAGGGAGAATCATGATTGAGAGTGAGAGAGACAGCTAGAGGTGGCGGTGATGTGCATATGATTGAAAAGCATTGTCATCTGTCACTGTGGATGATAAATAGGAAGAAAGAGGGAAAATGGAAATCACAAAGAAAGGGAGAGATCGAGGGAAATAGAAGGACACCTTAATTTGTCATCCATTTATGTATATAATCTCTATTGAATTGGTGTTTCATTTTATGAAATATAAAACATATACCATTGGTGTAACTTGGATGTCATGGTAGTCACCTGGCATGCGCCCGCCGACTTTTCCATGCTTTTCAATATGTATAATTATATTCTTGTGATTTTTCGTACCCATTAATGGTGATTTATTATCTCTTGTTATAACTCTTATTTTGGTCTTAATGAATCAACCTCTTGTTTTAAGCTCGGGATCCTCGACGGGCGCGTGCCAGGTTGCTGAACATGTTTTCCAAGTTAACAACAATGGTTGGCATGGTGGCCACCTGGCATGCGCCCGCCGTTATTTCCATGCCTGCATTCAATACACAACACGTACTAGTGCCCATTGAATATGTGGTGATTTCTGATTTAGTAGTTCTTGTAACTGGTCTTGAATGAATCCGCCCTTTATTGTTTAGCTTTTTAGCTCGGGATTCTCGACGGGCGCGTGCAGGGTTGCTGAACTTGTCTCCAAGCTAACAACAATGGTTGGCATGGTAGCCACCTTGCATGCGCCCACCGACTTTACCGACTTTACCTTGCATTTCAACTTGTACTTAGGAGCTGTTTTTTTTTTTGTTTTTTTGTGTGTTCTTTTCCTCTGAGCAGCAGCAGTGCAGCTGCCCTCCCACTACACCTTAATATACCATGTACTTTCTCCCTCTTTCCTTTCTTTTCTAACTCTCACTTACCTTCCTCTAATTCACCTCCTTCTCTCCTTCTCTCTCCTTTTCTTTCTGTTACTCTCCTTTCTTTTCCCCCTTCTTTCTTTTCACTTTCTCTATCTCTTCCTTATGTCTTCTTCCATTTATCCTTATGTTTTATGTCATTCGTATTCTATGTATACATGTTATTCATTTCATACTTTTGTATTCTGTATGCATTTGAATGTTTTGGTATGATTGTACTTATATTGTACATTTGTTATAAGTTATGTAATGTTTATGCAAATGTTTGATTATGTATATGTATCACCTGGAAGGCAAGTTTCTTCATTCTTCAGAAGAAGACAATAAAATTCTATACTATACTATAAGATATTGTGATTTTCTTCATTCCACCTTACAGCGAAAGATTCAATTTTAAGGTTTGTTTATTCAAGATGTTTATTCCTTTTTTGAGCATAGTACTTGAGAGAAAGAGAAAAAAAACCTGATAGTGTATCACTATGATTAATGGACTCACTTTAAACTTATATAAATTGAAATGATATCCTGAGATGTATTTTTGAATTTCCTTTCATCGCCCTCCTCTATACCAGGTGAAGAGGCGAGTGCCTTACCCACTGCCACCACTCAGAGAAAGGAACCAACCAAACGAGTCGTCTCTGTCCTCCGGCGTCAGAACAGCGAGTTTCGCATGGCTCTGGCTTGCACGGTGTGTTTCCAGCGCAAGAAGGGCGTGGTGTTTGAATGCGGTCATAGTACCTGTAAGGAGTGTGCAGAGTTACTGCCCGAGTGCCCCGTCTGCCGTCAACCTGCCTCCAAAGTCATCCCTCTTTACCTCTAAAGATGGATGCATTCTTTTGGGTAAAGTAGTGTATGTTATTGACTGGTTAATTTAGAACATAACATTGGTCATAATTTGCTGCATGAAATCATCAAAAAAGAATCAAAAGCTTTTGCATCCTCTGCCAAAGCATTATCGGGTCATTTTTAGAGGTTTTCACAAGGACTTTTTCATTGTAATAATTTTTTTTTTACTAATGACGCGGTTAGTCAAGCTATTGGTCATAATTTGATGCATGCATTGATGAGAAAGAATCAAAGATTATTCGACCTTAACAAACAAAACTTTAAAAAAAAAAAAAGAGCTGAAAGAAAGAATATGTTAAGTCGGTCAAATAGGCATTCACTTTCTCAAGAGATGGATTTTAATGGAGTACTCCTATCATCTGCCAAGGATAAGGCTGAAAGTTTTAATAAATATTTCATTGGATTACCTATGAAAATCAGTACAGATATTCCTCAAGTACCACAATCTTTTTGTGATTATATGAAACAGTGTGAAGATAATGCATCTATGTTTCTAAAACCAACTTCAAACTCTGAGATTATCAATATTGTGTCATCTTTGAAACCATCTAAATCTAGTGGTTCAGATGATATTTCACCTAGAATTATAAAGGAGTACATTCACCTTTTTATTGATCCCTTACGTTAAATCATTCATATGTCTTTATCTCAAGGAGTTGTTCCTGATAAACTCAAGGTAGCCAAAGTGGTACCAGTGTATAAAAAATCTGACCGTAAAAATGTCATTAATTATAGCAGGCCTGATAAAAACCCGATTTAAATCGGTTTCCCGATTTTTATATTTTCCCGATTTTTTCCCGATTTTTTTTTTCTTCCCGATTTAAAATTTTTTTTTTTTACCAATTTTTTTTACCAATTTTTTTTTTTATCCCTGTTTTATTCTGATTTTCCCGGTTTCACTCTTATTTTCTCTATTTTTCCCGATTTTTCCCCAATTTTGTCCCAATTTTCTTACCCGAAAGGGGGGAATGTTGTTATATGCCATTTTTTCCCCGCGAATCCTCCTCTTTTTACTCAAGGGGGCGTGGTTGAGGGAAAACAAAAAAACCTTTTTTTAGTGCTCACTATCACCCCTGTTATAGGCCAATAGCGTTGTTACCAATCGTTTCTAAACTGCTTGAGAAAATAATTTATAAACGCTTGAATGAGTTTCTATCTAAAAAGAATATCTTGATTCCTCAGCAGTGTGGTTATCGTTAGCACTTCTCCACACAAATGGGTGTGTTTAATTTATTAAGTAATATCATAAAAGCTATTGATGGAGACAAGTATTGTCTAGGGATATTCTTAGATCTATCTAAGGCGTTTGATACCATTGATCATGGTATCCTCCTCAGGAAAATAGAGCATTATGGAATATGTGGAGTAGCATTGTCTTGGTTCCAAAGCTAGTTGTTTGACAGGACTCAATTTGTTGTGGTGGATGGTACTAGTTCCCAACTTGCTTCTATTAAATATGGTGTACCTGAGGGTTCTGTTCTTGGTCCCCTGTTGTTTTTAATCTATATAAATGATATAATACACTCATCAACATTATTCTCATACTCACTGTTTTTTCTGATGATACCAGCTTGCTGCTGGTTGATAAGAAGGCTGAAGATTTATTACTAATTGCAAATCAAGAGAGATTCAGAAACTGTATGCATGGTATTGGTGTAATAAGTTATTGTTTAATGTTCAAAAGACCAAATGTGTTATTTTTCGCTCAAAGGGTAAAAAGCTTCCAGATGGTATTACTTTTCTTAATGTTGGAGGCCATGATGTTGCGCTTAATTAAAATGTTGACTATAGGGCCCGCTCACAAGCTTAGCTTCTACAGGGGTCCTAAAAACCATTTAATGATGTAATCAAGTTAATATATGTTGATTAATGTACTCTTACCAGTCTCTTTTGTATGTAAAAGATTATATGATGTTTTGTGTGGTTTTGAATAAATGAACTTGAATGAACTTGAACTTGAACTTGAACTTGAATCCATCTGGGTAAAAAGAATTAATCCTTCATGGTATAGGGACTCTGGTTATTCATTGTCACCTATCTTAACTCCAGTGATCTCAAGGCAGCAGACAGCAAGAAACTCTTTGATTATCATTTGGCTTGAGAAAGTCCACATAAGTGGATGAAAGCTTGCCTACTTAACTTTAAGGGTGATAGAAGCTTAAATTCATGTTATGATCTGAAGGGTATTTTCTACATTAATCCTATAACATTTAGACACTAAGCCTGCGATTAACTTGGGATAATGCCCGTTCAGAATGCATATAATGTGAATTGAAATTGTATCTATTAGGCTAAACATTGCTGTTATTGATAACTATAAGTATGTCTTGCTAGATAAAGATATGTTCTCCTTTATGAATTTACAATTAAAGCTTATTTTATGATCCTGGTCTTGAATTGTAAGAGTGCTAGCAAGAGAGTTTCCATCTCTACACCATATTGTATATCAGAAATATGAAATATAATCATTAAAGTATATTATATGTACAGTGTGTGTTAATTCTATTCAAGAAAATATTGTATTGACAGCCAAAAGATTTGTTATAGATTTACTTGTAAAAAGTTATGTTTTTAATAGAGTACTAAAATACTATTGCCAGCCTGTTTTTGTAGTACAAGAAATAGTTCTACCAATAGTGTTATATTGATCATGAAAATAGAGTGATATTACAGTGCTTGTAATATTGCCAGCCAATATGTGTTCAGAAGAGTATTTTGGAAAATAATATTGTCAGTTCTGAGAATAATTCCGGTGAAAGTGATTATACAGTACTTATTAATTATGTTTGAAACATTGAAGCTTTCGGAACTGCAATATTACTAGCCAAAAGTACTATTTAAAACTTCTTTAGTTGTAGAAAGTAAAGTCAATAAAGATCTATATCACAACAATGTAAGTGCTAGTATAATCAAAAACATGTGTATATTGTATTCAAAGATTGAAAAAATATAGATGACAATCAAGACTGGAAACTTATTGGGTACAATACCTGCTATGGGTGATTGTGATAGTCATTAGTTCTTTATAAATTTGAAACTACTTTAAATAATGAGAGAACATGAATTTGAAAATGATTTATTTCTTCACAATTACAGGAAAATTACCCGTTTTGGTAAAACTTTCTGCTGGTTGTGAAGAAAGAAGTCAATTTAAATATACATTACCAATCAAATGCACCTCTTCAGTGATGTAAGAACATGAATTACTTTCATTGAATAATCAACACATTTACTAAAGACTAGTAATAATACTTATAATAATAATAATACTCAGTTTTTATATAGCGCAAATTACAATTAAGTAATTGGTACATATAAATGTGAGAAATTCTATTACTGTATGGCAGCTTTGTTTACCTGTTTATATACTCTTTTTACCTTTTTATTAGTGATTTAAGAAAATGAATTAATTCCATTAAATAATCAACACATTTACTAAAGACTTGTAATTGTTACATGTAAATGTGAGAAATTCTATTACTGTACGGCAGCTTTGTCTACCTGTTAACTCTTTTTACCTTTTTATTAGTGATTTAAGAAAATGAATTAATTTCATTGAATAATCAACACATTTACTAAAGACTTGTAATTGTTACATGTAAATGTGAGAAAATGTAGTACTGTACGACAGCTTTGCCTACTTGTTTTCTTTTTCATTTTACATTTTGATTAGCTCCCTTTGAGAGAACTCACGGCCGTCCGTCCCATGGTTGCTTAACCCTTACTGTACTGGGGGGGGGGGGCCTGGGAGCCCCCCCCCCCCTCGACATTTTCGGAGATTGCGCCGCAACCGCTTGAAATTTTGAATTGTCGTTTCATGACTTTTTTCCCTCAAGTCTTACGCACGTTTTGATACCATTTTCGTCGCAATCGGATATACCTGTGAGGTGTTACATAACAATTAGTATGCGCATGTCATCAAAAATATGCTATAATTGCATATATTCATGTACAAGCAGAAATGTGAATACAGGTTTAGATGTATTCCTTCCTAAGTGGTGATATGAATTGATATCGAATTGCTTTTATATGTTTCTCAAAGTAACTTGATCTATTCCAGAACAAAAGAATACATAAGAAATAAAAACAATAGATATAATAAGAAATAAAAAAACAATAAAATACATAAAAAAATAAATATTTGAAAATCGCATCAAATTTGCATAAATTATCATTATTAATTAAATCCAAATAAATATTTTGTGTTAGAAAAGAAGTTTCATATGAATAATGAGTTTCAACGTTCAAAAAGTGAAGTTTGACACGTTTTCTGTAAAATGCATAAAATTAGCATTTGCATAATTAATTAGGCTATAACCACAACAATTTGCATATTCACAAAAAACTAATTACACCATCTTGTTCGTTACGTAAATATCTACAAACATGCAAATTTTCGTGTTCATCGGACATCCGACGGCCGAGATCATAGGGGGGGGGGGGCCTCCCAGGCCCCCCCCCCCCCCCCCCAGTCAGGAGGTGCTCAAAAAAGCCCAGTACAGTAAGGGTTAAGCCTCGGTCACAAATGCCATTACGAACTGATACGAACGGCGTACGAACGATTTTCAGACTATGGAAATTCGGGAAGACAATGGAAAAACAGGGAGATTCGTACGAAATTATCGTTCGTACGAACCTTTGTGACCGTAGCATTACTTACAAGCATACTCATCCTTCTTTTCAGTCGGGTAAAAAAAAAAGCTCTGTCCTAGATCTTGGCTTTAAGTACTTGAAAGAAATATATCAACTGCTTTAAATAGAGCCAGAAGGGCATTGAACTCATATGTCTTTATATTTTATATATACCTATATTGTAAAGCGTATTGAAATGTCAGCAGACATTAAATGCGCTATAAAAGAACAAATATTATTACTATTAAATATTGAGTAAACAGTGATAATTCATTTGACAAATTTGCCTGACTAATAATATGTTTTTCTTTATCCTTCTTTGTGTAGGTATCTTTGTACAACAATATATTTTGTTTCGTATAATTTATCCAAAAATTGCTTGTTTAAGTCATTACTTTCTGATGAAGAATATATTCATGAGCTGCATAAAATTAGTGTATGCTTACCATTTTTTTTCTTCCTTATTCTGCGAACTTGTTGATATGTCAATCAAACCATCTTAAAGCAGTCTTTTTAAGTCATTTCAGTAACTTAAAAAGTTGTAAAATGAATTATATACCTCACTTAAGAAATCCAGCCATCTGATTGGTCGAATTGCATTCATAAACTTCAACTGTTCCTGTAAAATTCCCGGTAAACATGCTTAA